TAAAACACACATATCGTACTTTTGTTTGATCAAGTGCATTCAATCATGCTTATGATAGTACGATCTGCTAGCTTTTCAAGCTCGACTGATTTGTTTGCTTTGCGACTGTGTGTTAATTTGTAGTGAAAATTATTATATTTAAAAACTAAATTAGTAAATGAAGATCTTAATGCTAGATAGACGTTATCGTTACATACATGAATCCACTGCAAAGAACAAAAAAATCTGGAATTTGGTCATAAGTGGTGCAGTACTGACAGCGAAACCAGCACAAAGGTACAAATGTCGCAATCAAAAATAATAAAACATACCCGCGTATGAAGAGAATGGAACATTTAACATTAACAAAAATAAAATTGATGAACACATTGATCTTCGGTATAACGAATAATATTGCATTATTAGAGAGACGAAAAGAATCAAAATCGACAACGTTGAGATGTGGTTTTGACGAATTTTAAAACATTAGTCCTCAATGGGCTACTTTCTAATAACAACACTCTTAACCAATGCGTCTAATGAATTTGGGGTAGTTTTGGACTCGTTGCTCGTAGAGTTTCCGATAGTCAAGAAAAGCTTGTTGGGGTCAGTAAGTTCGACGGGAAACGATCATGCGTGTTTTGTGGATAAAATAAAACTAGAGGTCCCGCAGTAGTCGAAATTCGACTATAATTAATTGGAATTGTAAGTTTGTACACTATTATTGTTGTATTTTATACTTCTATAATCACAAATTTCGCCAAGGCTACACTATTAAAAAATATTAATAAAGACAAACAATATTTAATCGATTCTCAGTTTGACCACAGACGTCAAGAACAAAAGTTTGACAATAATAGTATGCATGCGTGTGTGCGTCAAATACATGATATGTAGTGTGTGTAATGTTTTCTTTATTGATTTAATGTATCTTTTATGCATTATTTTAAAAAAATATTAGCACTGTGCACTTCTTCTCTGTATTCTCTATAAGTGTGGAAAATTTCACACTCCTCCGTCCGCGCAATTTTCGTAAAAAGGGATACAAAGTTTTTGCTTCACGTATTAATATATAGATCTCTCCCAGGTCAGCCTATGCCTAGCCTATGCTATAGAAGAAAACAAAGGAGAATAAAATTTAATGATGTTTTTTTTGAGTTTACACTACCTTTTAAGATCCCCTTTTTTGTATGAGTATTATGAGTTGTTGTGTCTCTGTACGGGTTGGGTACTTATATTTATTTTGTATGTGTATGTGCGTAATGCAAGTGTCCGTCTGCAATGTGTGATGTATTTAAATCATTGACCTCACTGATCGCTTAGACAACTAGTACATTCTATGTCATTGGGATCCAATGTAAGAAGTCATTCGGCAAGTTTTTGCTTAAATGTAACGAGAACAAGAGATACTGATTGGTTTCATTCCGCCGCTCGCTTAAACAGTAATGAAAATGTAGCAAAGCCTTTTGTAAAATTTGTTTTTCCTCAGGAGCATGAGTGTTATTTTTATCCGAGGAAAGACCCAATGTATTGTTTATGTAATGTAAATAATATTGGACCCTCGGTTTTATCATGCGGTACTCCAAAAACCATCTCTATCTCTTCACTAATACGTATTATTAGTACATATACGAATACTACGCTCCGCTATGGTATAATCCAATTTTTTGTAAGTAATCTAGATTTCGTATAATCCATTAAAATCCATGAATGTATTATAGAACCTTTCTTCGGAGTACCTAATTAAAAAATGATTCTATTTGTCGCAAAGAATGCTAATTCATTTATTTGTGCTGCGTTTTTGTTATTTCATAATTTAATGCTTTTGCCATTGCCAGTGCAATTTTTTTATGGATATTGTGATGCTGATCACACTTGGTGTAATCTTTATGAATCATTTAAAATTAAATTGAGTTGGTTTCCTAATGGACATTCCATTTAGAAAACGGAAACAAAAAACCTTATTTGCAATTATTCTTCGAATGTCAAAGAATTAGCTGAGAAATATATTTGTTTATGCACGCCGAGTACTTCCAAAATCATGAAACTCGGCACGGGAGGAAAGGAAATTGTTCAGTAATATTTGAGTGTATCGTCAACAGTGTCGATAAGATTCTGCAATGGTTGCCTTGAAATTATAGAATGAAAAAAATGGCAACTCGATCAGTACGACTTGCAATCGTATTGCTTCCACGCATTCCGTTGTATTTATTTAGTTCCAGCTAGTTTAGTTACTTGGTTCAAGTGTGGTAGTGTGGTGAGCCCCACATCGAAATGTTGCGTCTATTTCTTAGAGGTATCTTGAGATGACCAAGAAAATGAATAAATGCGTTTACTTCTTCAAATACTCATTATATTATTTTTAATTTTTACAAAATAGAATTGTGATGCGCGTCCATCTTTTTTCTTAGTGTAATAATTTTAAATTTTGACAATTGGTGCCACTATTGCGTTTCCTGATTTGTGATTGGTTCGTGCGATATGACGTCATCGTTGACCAATCACTGCCATCAATGTATGACGCGACGTTGATTCGTTAACATGCTCCCGGCCTTCGAAGCACCAGGTTCCAACAATTGGAGGTGATCATTCAGAGACCCAGCAGCTGCTATCGTGCGTAATCATTCTTCATGTAAAGGAAGCGGACAGATTTTGGAGAATGCCCGTCTCACAATCCCATCCGCTTTGCGAATATCAGCCACACGTGACAAGCTGTCTTTGCCTGGATATGTTTTGATAATTCATCCCAAGCTCCATTTCAATGGCGGTAAGTTGTCATCTTTTTTAAGAACCAACATACTTTCCTTGAGCTCACCCTTATGTTGGTACCATTTGCTCCTGGTTTGCATCTCTGACACGTATTCTTTAGCCCAGCGGCTCCAGAAGTGCTGGCGGATCTGTTCAACTCTCTGGTATCTGGTAAGTCGACTAGCCGGAACATTGTGAGGGTCATCAGGTACAGGTGCAGTTAGCGGACGGCCAACCAAAAAATGAGCTGGGGTAAGTGGAAGAAAATCCTGTGGATCTGAGGAAATAGGATTTAAAGGTCGGAAGTTGAGGACAACTTCAACCTGCGATAGTACTGTGCCCATCTCTTCAAATGTAAGGTGTGCGTTGCCAACCACACGCCGCAAATGATACTTACAGCTTGTGACACCATCCTCCCACAAGCCCGCAAAATGACTAGCATAACACGGTATCAATCTAAAATTTATATTTTGAGAAATCGCGTATTCCTTAATGTCATCTGAACAACGATTTAAAAACTTTGCGAATTCATTCATTGCGCCTACAAATTTGCGCCTGTTATCGGAGTATATAAGTATATATTCAATAGGTTTTCCTCGACGTGAAATGAACCTCTTTCAGTCTCTTCAGTGCCAACAAATAAGCGTCTGATGAAAAGTCGGTCACAAGCTCGAGATGTACGGCGCGTGAAGCAAAACATAATATAATTACGCGATCCGATCCGAATTTAAGTTACATCTAAATAACTAATTAGATGCACTTAAATTTGTAAAATTTGTAAAAAAAGCACTTCTTTGTTAATGGCGATAAATAAATAAAGTTATCGTACTTTGTTATGTTAAGATAATTTGTACTTTAGTTAGTAGTAGTGACTAGTAGATAGTTAAGATGGGATTCCTGGACGGGCTAAATTATTTTTTTCTCGTTACAGTTTAAATAAAGTAATGATTTAACTTCGAAATTAATAACAAAAACAATGAGCGTGACCATTACGGATCAAGCATAAAATCAACCTACCTATTACTTATATATGAAATTGTCTAGATGCACGTTTGTCGTATTCTGACTTACCAATGACGTCACTACAATAGTGTGAGTCCATTTCTCGAACTTAACTTTAACGACAATGTTAAATTGTTTTCCGTGGAAACGTTTATCTAGAATATAGTTTTTTGTGTAGTATGACAATGCCGGTGAATCAGAAAAAGTACCATAAATAAATAAATAATAATATGTCATGACTACGAGGAAAGCTAATAACTATTTTTTAATGAAAATGAATTCAAATTTAGACGCAACAGTGGTGCTCAAACGATGCTGTCAGCGCAGCCACTTCGAATATGTATCTGATTCATGAAATTAGAATAATATTGGATGAATTATTTTTTCTATTTATAAATATATATTTGCAGAGTCAGTGGAATGAGCTCCGACCCACTTGGAGTTAATGGTTATCATAGCATACTTTTAATGGAATAGTATTAGTTCCTGTTAGTACCTGATTATTAGTTGTACGATTACTATGGAATTGCTTAAAGCAAATTTGATTTTGCAGCTGATTATGTTCATGGCTTTTATCATGATTATGCGCTTTAATTTTAAGTGTCACATCAGTAATTTTTGTGTACTGGAGATTTTGACGAGAGGCGCGTTACGGTTCACATCTTGCTGGCAGATAGTGTTTATAATCCAATAAGTCTGATGCTTTCTAGCTTCAATATTAAATAAAGTAAAGATACACTAAAATCCTATAATTTGCTCTTCGTTTTCTGAGAACATCACGTATAATCAATTCGAATAAAAAAAAACAGCCTCGAACAGTCGTATTTACTTTCCTTTTTTTAACGTACGTCAAATTTTGCTTTACTGTTTTCATAAGGTAAAAAATCGCTAAAATCGCACTGACGACCTTTTACTCCCCGTAAGAAGTCATCTGCGGTCCGAAATGCGCATGACGAGATGCTTCCCAATACGGCGAATTGCGTCAAGATTAAGAGATGTTTCACCCGAATGGCGTGCATCATTATGCTGCTTAAAAAAACTATGCACGTATGTGGTAAGTGGTTGTAGTAACCCTAACTTCACTTGGTGGTCTCCTATGGGCACGAAATCGGCTATATTGAGCACATCTCTTTCTGCACTTTTCAATATACCTTATCTCGCATGTATGTATATCTTATGCTATAATCTTTGAAATAAACTATTAATATACTTTGAACTTCGTAAGAAGTACGTATTGAACTAAGACATATTTGGTGAACATTGCCACTTACCTTTCCTCAAATCGAATACTGGAACGGCTGATATCACTCCACGCGCTCATAGAACGGCCACGTCCGCGATGGTAAGCAGCCGTGGCGCCAAGAGTAACTGTGGGCCGTCTATCGAATTCAATTTCAGGCGGGAAATTAACTTTGTTAGAACCACGGGATGAAGGGCCGTCAGCTGACTCTCCACCGCCGGACATCTCCATTTCGAATGGCGCATATTCTGGTGCGTCGTCGGGATCTCCGTCGCTACCATCGCTAGCAGCTGAAAGCGCTTCATATCCATAGCCAGGGCGGACGCCAACGCCGCCGCCGCCGGCCGCGCCTCCCCCTCCACGACCGTAATCCACTCCTGAAGCCAGTCTCGACGATGCTTCGATTCGACTCAATGACGCCGCTTTTAAAGACTGTCCTCGAACATTCAATGCTGAACTTTTTGGTTGATAATGGTTGGAATAACGTAATTTGCTGTGACGAAACGTGGTGACACTTAATTCCTACTATCAACAGCGTTACGCGTTTTCAATTCAAAGGTTTAATGAGACGATTGTTATCAGATTTATAATTATCTATTTCTTTATTTTTTTCGTACCGAATTACGCACGATAATTGCAACAATTAAATAATTATTAAGTACGTAAGACGTGAATATTGTTAAAATCAATTGTTATTTAGTCAGTGTTCCAAATATGCTATAAACGTTACCACGTTTGTTTTTAGTGGTCTTGTTTATTTTCAGCTGAGATCCACACAGCGAGTCTTACAATAAATTCACTAAAATGTACACAATATAGTTCACAATGATTTTTCTGAAATATTAATACACTTGTTATTAATCAACACCCCGTATATATCTATCACACAACGTTTTTCAAGAACAAAATACGTCAGACGGCTGTCAAACTATGTCAGAGTCTGGTTTCAGTAGGTCTGTTCGATCTTTTTACCTATGACCTTTATACCGCCAAACGATAAACTTTTGTTAATGGGGGTGGCCAAACAATAAAAGCGTATAGATACTACGTTTCATACATGAGATGGTGGTAGTGAAGTGAGCAAAGAATGAACGCATTGGAGTGAAGTACGCCCAAAAGGCAATCGGGTGGGGCAGATCGATGCGACTATTATAGGGCGCCCTTTTGTAGTTTCTCTTTTTCGGCGTAGTGGCGCTATTGTCTTCAAATTGAGGATTGAAACCAGTTCTGAAGTTGACAATTTTGTAAATTTATCTCGTAAAAAATATTATGAAGCGAAACTTGATGAACAGGTTACTACTACTTCATATACAGACGTTTTACACCTCAAGAGAATATTAAGAGATTTCTTTGATTTTTTCTTTAAAAAAAAGAGCAATATCAGTATGTCAGTAAAAGGCTGTTCCTCAGTACAAGAGATTTAATTTAGTAATGGATTTGTCATTCTTGCCGTGTGAAGTTAAATACTCGCAAAAAAATTGATCTCGCGCCATTATCAAGAAGCACCATTTTCGCATTTTGCACTTTACATGGCAAGGAACTTTTTTTAATCTTGCTGTCGGGGGGCTTAACACTTAAGCCCCTGCTATTTTCTTAAATGCAATAATATTCACAATTTAGGCAATTTTTGTATCGAAGTAAATCCGCGTTCCATTCAGTTTCTAATATGTGGACATGATGGGCTGTAAGGTTTTGCACCCATTTTACTTTTTGAAAACCAACAATATAAGTATATTAATGAGATTTAATAATTACAATAAAATAGCCCTTATTATAGAGTATTAATTGATAATATTAAACCCTTGGACCCTTTAAATAAAATGTGCATTCAATACTAATCTACAATATAATCTTTATTATCTTATTATGTATTATTTATATATCCAGCAAGAAAATCAGTGGCTTGTGGCGTTCGCATGTCGAACTCTTCGTCGTACTCGAGGACGATGACCAGAGGATCCAACAAGACATGTTTTGGACGACGGCCGCATTGCGTTGTCCCGTCGCCTGGGCCAGATATGTAATTTTCGGTGGCCAAGTTAAGAGCATAGTGTTCTGACGCTTCCTTAAGATATTTACGTATCGGTTCTAAATGTAGTTTTTTTTGCTCAAAACTAGGATGCCCTGTACTATGGTAACCAGAGATTGATATATGTACATATTTTTAAATATGCACAGATATTAACCACCCAAATACAAAGCAAAGAAACTTGTTCATCACACCTATGTTTGCTGGATGTGAGAATCGAACACACGATCTTCAGTCCATCAGTCAAGCGTACTAACTACAGTGCCGTAGAGTCAATCGCATTAAAGACTTCAAGCATTTTCTCATCAATTCACGTGGAATGATTTGTTGTCTTAATATGTAGTAGTGGTGGTTCGGTGTAACTATGTCCGTAAATAAAGCCTTTGCTGATAGTAAAGTCTGTATACGTTGATGAATCCAATTCAATCGCCCGCACATATTCCTTTTTTTTCTACTTATGCTGATAGTCTTGAGAGGCTATTTCGGCTTCGCCTTGACATGTAGGGCTCAAATCGGGAGTATTGCTAACATTGACCCTAACAAGAACAGTGCTTCGCAGAATCTACCACCAGATTGGAAAAGCGCCCCACTGAGAATATCCGGCGAGAAACTCAGTGGGCTGTGTCTATGGGTTAATTTACTCGTCGCGCCCTTCGTCGCAAGCGACGGGTTCGGCGAGGACGGTGACCGGTGCTTGAGGTACCTAAAAGCACCGTTAATGGATCGAGAGGATCCGTAATGACGTGTTTAGAGCGACGTTGACTGTTTACCATTCGGTCCACAGGATCAGGTATGTAGTTCCCGGTGAAGGATTTTCGTGTCATGCCGCCTTCTCAAAGTGCCGAAAAAAATGATGCTGACTGTAAATACTTACTGTCTTCAGTCAAGCTCAAGGTCCTCATGAAGATCCACATTCCTTAGGAACCATATTTTTCTAATTTAACAATACTTGTATGATTTAATCTGGTATTATTATTTCTATTAAATTATTTCTGACCTTTTAAATACATTACAGTTTTGGTGTTCATGTGCAACAAATATGTTATTCGTCGACATTGGAATATTGTCCTAACTACCGTCAAATCTGTTTTAAAAATAAATATTATTATTTGCGATACTTTGCACACAGAAAGTACTAACAGTACCTTGAGATCTGGTGGTTTGCTTGACTTGAGATTTCCCCATGTACCTACATTTTAGCTCTAACCGAAAGATACCTCTTAACTCTCTTATACTTTCCTATGTCTCAATCCAGTTATTGACACCGAGATTCTGCAGAAGTATGCTTACACTTAACATTATTGGCTCAAGTTCTTTTGTCGTGTATAAAACGACTTCGTAGACAAACGTCTAAACAGCTTATTCTTTTGATATGCGGCAGAAACCACCTATTTCAATGCGGTTGTTTTTGTTTTGAGGTAACGACGAAAATGAATTGCAGGCCATTCTCGTTAAACTAAGCTAACGGCAAATAATTAGCCTAGATCTGTAATCAAACAAAACGTTTGTACTCGATTTACCATTGGTTGTTCATTAAAGGAATCTTTTATTGGATTTTGAATTTTTTTTTATTCTTCGTATTACAATTTTACCGAAGACGAGCAATTCCGACTCACCGTACTCATACCTACGTTAAGTATGTCATCTTGAATATATTATACCTTTTTGTGGCAGTTGGGCAAAATCGATCCTTCACAATTGGGGCACCAGGGGTGGCTTAATAGATAATGTACGAGTAGAAGGCGAAAAACTTTCGGTGCTTTAAACCCCGACATTTAATAGTTTTCATACTAGAGAGGGAAGTCACTGGTACTTTTCTTGCAATCTTCAGTGATCCAGCATGAACGGTGTAATCGTACAAACACGATATAACGGAACAAACAACTAACAGCGAAGATTCTAGTAACACTTTTGCCTACTTTCCTAATGAATTTTTACCACGTCAAAACGATGTAGATGCTTCATTTTGGGGTCGCCCACGTTCCATGCACAAAATATCCTTAAGACTTCACCTATTGTGCAAAATAGTGCAGAATGATGAACTAAAACCTCAAATATCAGGGAGTTACTTTTCTTTGTACTAGACATGTAGATGAGCTCATGGCTAATATTGTGTTAAATAATTACTGGAGGCCATAGGCAATATGGATGTGCGAATCCACGCCCCTTCGTTTTAAGTTACTTTAACAGGACTGTATACGGTAATAAGTTAATAAATAGGAACTTGAGATGATTCATAAAAGATCCTGCACAGACTTGTCCAGATTTTCCTGATACACGTGGACTTCAGTTTCTGTGGTCAGTCGCCCTTTTCACTAGCGGACAATTCTCGGTAACGGAGGTGATCGCGAAACACAGTGCGGATATTGTAGCTCGAATTGAGACATGCGAGATTACTGATTTGCAGATTAATGATTTTCACAGTCCTTTTCCACTTCTTCATATTTTAACAGCAATTTTATTAATTTTACCGATAATATACATTATTTTGCAGCAATTTCAAATGAGACTTCATACGTTGGTAGCCTATGCCAATATTTTAACTGTATGTGGTTATCACATTAACAACGGCGCCAAACTTCATGGATCACGGGGACAGTATGCGCTCTTCAACCATCTGCTCTGAAGTATGACCATGCGTACAAACATACAGATGGGGTCCTGGGTAATTTTCATCCCAGGGATACCGCTGTAAGCATATTCACAATTTAAGTTCTACTAATTTAAATCCTCACTCTATCTCGAGACGATAAAATGTTCGTCCAAGGATGGCTCTGGTTTTATGACTGACATTAAGACATCCATTATCAACAGGAAGACGTAAGCCGGCAACGGTTACAACTGTACGGATAAACTGAACTAGATCGTGACGTTAACAGTGTATTACACGTTTCAAGACCGACTATATTATTATATCGATCGAATTAACAGCACGTCTAATCCAATACCCAAACTAATTATTCTAAATCAACCACAGAAAGCCACGAGATTAATCACGGTGTAACAACACAATAATAGATTTTCAATTGTTAATCAGGAGATACAAATAAGCGACGAGTAGTATATTAAATGTTATTAGAAAACTCATTTGAGCTGTGTAATGGGGACGAATAATAGAAGTTATAATAAAACTGAGATCTTTGCCCGGGATCAAATAGGAGTGATGCGCTCGTAGCCATGAGAGCCATCAAATGTTTACAAAGAATGACAACGTTAAAAAGTAGTTTGAAGGAGTTTTTATATCTAACCATATAATAATATATTATAAACTAAGAATAAAACACGTTTGAATAATAACTAAAACTAAAATGTTATTATTGTATCCGGTGATTAGGAAAATGTACTGTCATCGATCCTTGATGTGCAAATTGTCAAGCTAAGCGATTAGTATCTAGTGGGGTCTCAATCGTTCTGTGTCGTTCACCTGCTCTGTACTAGATTGCAACAGTTATTATATACTCTCGGACACATCTATCGGCCCACCTAGTGTTTTAAGTTTTGACGTTCTGGCTAAAAAGAAATGTTAGGTGGAGCAATAAGTTGTTATGCATTTTTGAAGCTGATTTATTGGTTAACAACCCTTTAGTATGTTTTTTTTAAATTTCGAATCCAGAATTATGAAGAAAAAAAATGTGATAGCGTATAAGATGGTATAAGTCAAGTATGCGCCTTGGTGAAGGGCAAGAGTAGTAGTCTGGATTTTTAAGGAAATCAAACGTTTTATCACAATGAAATGTTTAATTAATAAGAAGTATTTCCTCCAAAGGCACTTACGACAGCCCTCATGCGATCAGGCATAGAATTAATCAGTCTCACTATGAAATTCTGAGGTATCATCTCCCATTCCTCTTCTATGGTAGTTTTCAGCTCCTGCACTGTTTGTGGAACTGGCTGGCAAACCCGAACACTCATCTTTACCTCGTCCCATAGGTGCTCGATGGAGTTCATGTCTGGGTTTATTGCCAATAACCACGTCTCAAAGATATTTCTAGACGATTCCAGCAGTATGCGGTGTCGCATTATCGTGCATCAAAGTATAATTTGAGTAGACACATACAGCAAATGGCATCACATGAGATTCTAAGCACTGGCATATGTACCTGTGATGAAGGAACGACGGAAGTCGTGGTGCACTAACGACCTTAGGTTCGGTTTTTCCATTTGCCGAAATTCCTCCCCAGACTGTCCATGCCCCACCACCAAAAGCAACCCTCTCTTCTATGCAGCATTGAGTAAAACGTTCTGTTTGTCTTCGGTACACCTTATTCCTTCCATCATTCCCACATAAAGTAATATTCGATTCGTCGGTAAACGATACTCGGCTGCAGTGTTGCTGAGTCCACTGCAAATGAGTTCGCGCAAACTGAAGGCGCGATGTTCGGTGAGTTCATGTTAATTTGGGGCCATTAGCTGCCTTGTGCGGTACCATATTACATTCTTTAAGTCTTCTTCGAACAGTTCAAGAGCACACAGATACTCAATGGAAGTCGCGTAGTTGATTTTGTATCTGAACTGAAGTCAAGTGCCGGATTTTCAAGCTAGTCGTAAAGATAAACTGGTATTGCCTTTCAGTTGTCACACGAGATCGCGGTCTTCCTTGACGACGAACGAAACCGCCAGTCTCTAAGTACTTTTGATAAACTCTTCGGACAGTAGTACGGCTTAAATTCAGTTGTGCATTCACATTTCTTTGGCTATGCCCGGCCTGCAGAAGTGCTACAGCTTGGACGGCAATTTCAGGCCGAGTATCCATATTTTTTGGTCAATACTAGCTCAAAGCTTAGAGTAACCTTTTTATAGAACCAATAATCAAATACATCATAAAAAAAATCCAACTTTCGCAAATTAATTAAAATGTTGTCCTCCCTTGGATCGTTGAAAACAATGAACGGACTCGAATTTTCCTATTTTTTTTATAATTCTGAATTTGAAATTAAAAAAATCACATGAAAAAGATGGCCAGTAAATCAGCTTCAAAACTGCATAAAAACTTATTGCTCCACCTAACATTTATTTTTAGCTAGGGACCGTCAAAATTTAAAACATTAGGTGGACCGGTAGATGTGTCTGGGAATGTATATTGGGTATGTGTAAAAAAATAGTTATTCGACAATGGATCAATAGATGTAGGCTCATGTTACCTATATGCAAGGGATGCTTAATAAAAAATCATAATAACAATGACGCAATTATATTTATTGGTATCTTATTTTTCGACGTAGTCTCCTTTTAGGTTTATACAATCTGTATACCTTTTTCTTAAAGATAAAATTGGCTTTTAAAAAAGAAAATTCTGGTCCCTTAAAAAATCGTGCACTGTGGCGACTACTGTGTCATCATTTTCAAATTTATGGCCCTTATAACGTTCCTTTGACGAAATGTTATGAAAACGTTCTTAACGAAATCTTCATTTCTTCTGCTATGAAACAAACAGTAAACACGACGATCCACCAAGGCAATGTTTTCAATTTTTTAATCATTTAGGGCGTCCCTTGCGGGGACATCTTTAATAAAAGTTCATCCTCGCTTGAACTCAGCACACCAACGCAGGACCGTAGAATATGGAGGAGTATGAACCTCTAATGTTGCTCTCAAGATTTATACTAGCTCCGTAGTAAAATTTGTCAAGCAGAAATATTTTATTACCGCGCAAACTTCAATTTTATCCATTTTAAAGAACACGTTCCGAAACGACTCAAACAACGGACTTCTATTTTTTTAAAACAAAAGAGATTTTACTACTTTTTTTCTTAATATTATAATATCTAGGCTATGCCTGCCAGTATTGTTTTTTCCAAGGAGAATGTATCGCATTATCACTATTTATTGAACACCACTCGTACAATGACATGTCCTTTTTTGTTTTGTTATTCACATATTTTCTTGTCAAGATGAGAAAAAAGATCTTCTCAATTTATAAAAGGAGAGCTTGGTAAATATTAAGCAAAAAAGAGAAAATCGGTTCGCCAAGATAGGAGAGAAATCACAGAGCTCAATATTTTTATGCCTTTTTACTTACACATATTTGGATATGCTGTATTGCACTTGTACAGTTAAGACGAATCTAATACCATGTTATAACAATAAATGTTAAAACCCAGTGCGTGATTGCAAATAAACTTTACATCTGTACAATAGCTGATGTTGAAATAAATCTACAAACGTGTAATCAATATTTAATACCGAAACAACATAATAAATATGAGCTCATAGCGTAAATGCAACTAGAGGCCATCTATTAATCTTTTTCCTACCTATTTGCTGATTGCCTAATATATTACTCGACCATACCAGCTTCTCGCAGAGGGGTAGGTGACCTCACGGGTTGAACCTAAGAAAGTTTGTTAACACCAGCCCTAGAAAGAGCTGTACTTCGTAGATTCTACCACCGTATCAGAATCGCGACGCACTGAGAAGATCTCGGAAGTCATGATGATTGAGTTCGAGGGTTAAGAGTCCTGATAAAATACTACTTATATTATTCAGCGGAGCTCCGTTGCGAATGATATTTAAATTCAAATATCTAGGTCATCTGCTTACTCCTGACCTGAAAGACGATGCCGATATTGAACGAGAATAGAGAGCGCTGTCGATAAGAGCAAACACCCAGGCTCGCACGCCGCTCATTTAGAGTTAAATTACACTCTTTCTAGCTTACTGTACGCCGGTGCACACGTGCAGCCCGTAGACTAGACATTCTCAAAGCTCGTACCGTGCTCTCAGGGTTCAGTATAATAACGGTTTTGGCGGATTGGTGGGCTTGTCCCGATTCTGTAGCGCGTCTGGGAAGTTCGCTTTCACACTACTATGCACAAGAAGTGTGCAAGGTGTGAGGTAGCTCAAACAACCTATTGAGACGACGACGACGACGATCAGAGCACACATACAACATTCATATATATATGTGTGTGTGTATGCACATATAACTAGTCAGGTCATAAGTATTGTCACACAGTAAAAACTTTTCTTTTAGAATGCTGGCCACAAAAATGTTTATTGAATTCGAATGTCGAATTGTTCATGAAAATAAAAATGTATACTTTTAGAATTTTACTCATTTTTAAATATGGAGTGGACGCTTAAAGAAGACCGTGTTGCAGTTATTGCGTTGCATCGTTGCGGTTACGCGCCAATTCAAATTTTTAACATACTGAAAAATTTGAATATAACCAAAAGATTCGTTTATCCTACCATCAAACGATACAATGAAGACTCTAGTGTAGATGACAGGTCAAGAAGTGGTCGCCCTCGGTCTGTTAGGACTCCAGCAGTGATAAAAGCTGTGAAGGCGCGAATTCAAAGAAATCCCAAACGTAAGCAGAAACTGTTGGCCCTTCAGATGGGGTTAAGCAGAAACACGGTGAAAAGGGTGTTAAATGAAGACTTAGGGCTTCGGGCATATCGAAGAAAAACAGGACATCGTTTGAATGCTCGTCTAATGGACCTGAGACTGAAGAGATGCCGCGCTTTGTTGAAGCGGTACGCGGGAAAAAAATATCGGGAAATTCTTTTTTCGGATGAAAAAATTTTTACCGTAGAAGAGAGCTACAACAAACAAAATGATAAGGTGTACGCACACAGTAGTGAAGAAGCGAGCAACCGTATTCCGCGTGTCCAACGAGGTCATTTTCCATCCTCGCTCATGGTATGGTTGGGAGTTTCTTATTGGGGCTTAACAGAGGTACATTTTTGTGAGAAAGGTGTAAAAACGAATGCAGTTGTGTATCAAAATACAGTCCTGACGAACCTTGTGGAACCTGTTTCTCATACCATGTTCAATAACAGGCACTGGGTATTCCAACAAGATTCGGCGCCAGCTCATAGAGCGAAGAGCACACAAGACTGGCTGGCGGCGCGTGAAATCGACTTCATCCGGCACGAAGACTGGCCCTCCTCCAGTCCAGATTTGAATCCGTTAGATTACAAGATATGGCAACACTTGGAGGAAAAGGCGTGCTCAAAGCCTCATCCCAATTTGGAGTCACTCAAGACATCCTTGATTAAGGCAGCCGCCGATATTGACATGGACCTCGTTCGTGCTGCGATAGACGACTGGCCGCGCAGATTGAAGGCCTGTATTGAAAATCACGGAGGTCATTTTGAATAAACTTTAGTGTCATAAGAATCTATGTTTTGTTAAGTTCATTTTGGTATATGAATGGTTACATAATGAATAAACTTGTTTCAATTATTTTACATTAAACATGTGACAGAATTTATGACCTGGCTAAGTACAAGCATATCTAGTACAACATTCTTTCTACCCACTAGATGCATATAGGTATATTTGACTTATCAGCTTTTTTTATTTGTTTGCTTTTAATTAATTATATCGAACCAATATAAGAATTTAAGTATCATTAAGTTAAAACGAGATTGAGAGATTTGCTGTTAAATAAATTATTTCGGCCTAAATACTTAACAATGGGTAATTTGTGCGACGGCCTAAGCCCTCTGGAAGCAATCACGTAGAAAACTTTAAGTATTCACTGTTTATTTTACCGCACAGCCAAGTTTAATTTCGTCATTTGTTTTCAAGAACCATTTCCCATTATCACATTGTGTTTCACATTCCTCGGCAATCGGCAATTGTTTAATGCAGTACTGATAGCTTGACGTGTGTCGTCGGTAATCAGGTGTGTTATTCGCAACAGGATGAACATTGTTACGACTCCTTTTTTCGTGATACTGATGATATTTATACCGATGGCGAAGGTAATTAATAACATTGTTACTTAATATTAAAATTAATTCTTGTAACTTTGCAAGACGTATGTATAACAATATTAGTGTAAAAAGTATAGGTATGTAAATCGGGAAACAGGTTAATTGCAATTTCGATTCTTAAAACGGATGTGGCGACCAATTTTTTAACGCGGTCTATTTAATATCATGTATGTTTTTTTAATTTGAATTTTTAATTACAATTAAAAATAAGGTACTATATATCATGAAGCTTATATTTTATGGAGAATCGGATTTAGTCTGAACAAGAAAATTTCGATTTAACAAATTATATATAAGTGTAAACTGTGTACCATTATTGAACTCGTGAAATCTCATTCTTACAAACAGCATTCGATAATAACATTAGATAATTTTTATGGTTTTGATGACTTTCGGCACGAAACGGGATTTTAAAATCACTTAATAAACGTTAAAGTATTATTGAAACCAAAGACAAATTAAATTGTATAGAGATGAAGAGATTGGCAATTTTTGTAAAACAGGATTGTCTGCTCACCTCTCTATACATTTATATTTATTGAATTAAGTTTTGGATAGTTTGGTAATTATATAACAGGTCATCTATCAGTCATTTCAATATGGCTGACAATAAATTCTAAATTCAAATATACTTATTATATCATATCATAAATGTAAATATATTTAAAAAAATATTCTGTTTTTATATTCAGTCATCGGTTTGTTGATTAGTGCTTTATTTTTTTCTATATAATGGTATATTTTTCGTCAAAAATAACACCATTAAAATACGACTAATTATTGAATTTGAGTTCCGTCGCGCATGCTGCACGTCAACATTAATGAAGTGTATGAAATGAATAATAAAAAAAACCACGATTCGTTATTGGTTTGAAAGCTACCAACATGGAAAGGACAATAAACACATAATATGTATGGAATTCCGTCTTAAGTTGTTGCACAATAAATCTTTATTTATTATAGACTACGCTTTATATATTATGGAATAAAAGTGTTCGCTTCCCCATAATTAAACGGGTTTTCAAGTAATTGGACCAAAACGGACATAACCTATAAATAATTTTGAGCCCACAAACAAAACATATCATAGTTTTCACACACCGACTTCTCCTCATTATCAGAGGCTCAAGCATCAACATGATTACAGAATTACAGAAATTCAAGAGTTCATAAACAAAACATATAAATGTCCAGGCGTAATAAAACCGTTTTAGGTTCCTACATAAAAACGTAGGTATGGCCGCTTGCTGTGTCGCAGCCGCCGGCTCGTCTACGTCTATGGACAATAATATAATATAGCTTGACAGTTGCGTCTGCGTGAAACGGAACACAGAAAAAAATAATTATTTTAATTTTTAATTGATAAAATCGTAATTCAATACGTTGTAAAATATAATATTATAATATAATATACTTAGTTATTTAACTGTACAAGATTTTGATATCATTTTTGTGATGATTGGGTCTAAAAACTCATGCATGAGTAATCTGTCTAAATAGAGAGAACGAAACGTCATGTCATGACTTTATTACGGAAATGATGCGAACAATTGTTGATGTACTATTAATCATAAAATCATAATTCCGGTCCTGTACAAAACATATCTGTAGTGAAATTAATTGTAACAAATGAGAAAACTATTTCGATGTTATTTTGATTCTGCAATATGCAACTTTGCTAGACGACTTTTGGTCATTCTCCTTTAGATCTAAAAAATGAAATCCGTGGTCGCCCGAAACGTAAAGTCAACAACTACAAATTAAAGGCGACAGTCGAAGCTTGCGATACCCAAACTGCCGCTGGGTTAGCAGCAGCATTCAACGTTAGCATTAAAACAATATTGGTTCATGTGAGTGAACTTGTGAATGTGTGAGTCAAGGCAAGGTAAAAAAACTTGATATGTGGATGCCGCACGAACTTTAATAATGTCTTGTCGGAACCCTCGGATCCAGTCTCGGTGCTTTTAGGCTCTTTAAGCAACGTTCACCTTTCTTGTCGAGCTCGTCGACTCCGACAGAGAGTTCGACGTGCCAACTACCTCATAGGTACAACCCAATGGGTTTCTCGTAGGATCTCCTCAATAGGTTACGATTCCGATCCGGTAGTAGATTCAGCGAAGCACTGCTCTTGCTAGGGCTAGTATTGGCAATTCTTTCGGGTTGAACCCGTGAGCGTACCTATGGGTCCGCGTGAAGCTGAAATAGCCCCTTTGGCTACCTACGATTAGGTAAGGGGAAAAAAGCACGAACTAAACGACAGCGCGACGAACTCGTTAAGGTATGCCTTGCGTTGCGAGAAACTCTCGAATCTCCGGCCAGCCTTAGTTAATCGCTTATCCCCGCTGCTCCTACACGACAAAACTTGACCTCATATGGCATAAAGACGCTCCCTGAGCTAGAAGGGCTAAGGTTGGAAATTTTGCTTCATCCACAGTACTCATCAAACCTTACGCCGGCAGACTTCTACTTGTTCCAAAGCTTGCACAAGTTCCTTGCATCCAGTCCGTCGCATGTTTTGATGAATAGAAATAACTTTCATTATACTAAACGACAATTTCGTGGGTAAAGGAAGACTTATGATCATTCAAATAAAAAAAAAACACGTTCTGCTTCTATTCTGGAGTTAATTTAGTATGTGCTGCAGTGCTAGTTAAAAAATTCATCCGTTTCTCTGAAATACCTGTTTGTAGCGGACGGTTTCTTGTTTAGATATATTTTGGGTTTATGAGGAGGAAGATTTTACAATAAAAAAATAGGATGCACATCTCGTAGTTGACAGTTTATTATTAACAACCTTAGAAATAAAATTAAAAATTATAAAAATATACATGACAATTGTTGCTTTGCAATCAAACTTTTTAATGGCGTTCCGAACACTGTTTGATGTCGCAATAATTATCGAAATCTTCATATTTCTGTGGAAAGGGAGAAACTTAATTCCTGTACCTGTGCAATAATATTACCAGGCAAAAGGTTGATAAAGCTAACTCAAAGAGTGTAATTTTTTGTCCAATATATGTACAAAATCACTGCGCCTGGTATTGGTTAAAGGACGACTGTAATCTCGGTGAGCATTGACGATATTTTCTACAATATCATGGAAGTCATCGACCGTGTCTGTTGTAACTATGTACGAGTATCTGTCGAAACTACTGCCCTTAGCTAACACCCAAGCGACTACGCGTCAAATGGCGTCAATGTCATCATTGACAGCATTAATTCCGATACCCCAGGGAAATGATATCGGGAGACGGTAACTTAGCTATTCTGTTGCCCTGAGATGGTCAATCTTTCCCGGAAACAGTGGCCACGTTTCAACTACGGAGATGGATTATCTTCAGTCTTACTCTGCAAAAAGTATCCAAAGGATAAATTGAAAGTATTAATTAATCTTTAATTGGCATTGTTGGAGATACTTTCTACTTTGTTTTTTGAATATGGGAGTAGCACCACTAAAGAAGAAGAATTATTCAATAAAGTACTAGTAGTACTTACTATACTAATCTATATATTAATTACTATACTAATATCTATATATTAATACGTGAAGCAAAAGCTTTGTATCCCTTTTTACGAAAATTGCGCGGACGGAGGTGTATGAAATTTTCCACACTTATAGAGAATATAGAGAAGAAGTGCACAATGCTAATGTTTTTTTTTTAAATTATTCTTAAAAGATACCTTAAATTAATAAGGAAAACATTACACACACTACATACCATGTATTTGACGCACACACGCATGCATACTATTTATTGTCAAACTTTTGTTCTTGATGTCCGTTGTCAAATTGAGAATAGATTAAATATTGTTCGTCTTTGTTAATATTATTTATAGTGTAGTCTTGGCGAAATTTGTGATTATAGAAGTATAAAATACAATCATCATAGTGTACAAACTTACAATTCCAATTAATTATAGTCGAATTTCGACTACTACGGGACCTCTAGTATATATTAATACGTGAAGCAAAAACTTTGGAGCCTTTTTTTACAAAAATTGCGTGCAAGGAGGAGAATGAAATTAATTATGCATGAAAAATACAATTAATCAATAAAAAAACATTACACACACTACCGTGTATTTGACACAACACACGCATGCTATTTATTTTTTGTCAAAATTTTCTTATTCTATGGTAAAATTGAGACTAGATTAAATAATATTTGTCTAAAGTGCGTCTTAGCGAAATCTGTGATTACAGAAGTATAATAGTTTTTGACAATAGAATTATAATGTGTACAAACCTATAATTTCAATTAATTATAGTCGAATTTCGACTACCGGAGGACCACTAGTATGTTTAGCTATATATCTATACTAGCTGTAAGTACCCGCCCGTTTCGCTTGGCATTTAAAATAAAAAAATATTAATAATTGTCATTATTACAGTTTCTTTATTAAAAAAATTTAACTTCCCCTTTTCGTCTCATTTCTGTCTGATGAAGATTGTCCTTCGTATAGTTCTCAAGTTATTTCTTCCCAGTTTGGATTCGTTGTCATATTTATAAAAAATCATCATATTTCTTAACATAAAAAAATGCATCTTGTATTCGTTCATGCATATATCTTGGACCGCCAGTAAAACTTGAAGGGAGAATTATTAAACTACCTAAATTATCAACATTTTGATCTACATTTAATTCATCTTGTAGATGAATATAGCTTTCAGCTTTGAGTTGTTTTTGATTGAATCTTATAAATGCCAATCGTTCAGTTTCAATTTTAGAGTGCTTATCAACCCAGAATTCTTGGGTAGTTTGGCTCGGATCGACTTCCACCATCTCTTTCAATGCTTTGTTATTCACATGTGTGGGCGATCTTCCACGTGGTTCGTTCTCCAAATCAAAATTTCCATCACGAAAGCGTTTAAACCAAAATCGCACGGTGCGTTCATTAGCCCTATACAAACGCAACATTGATATTGCAAGCTGTTTCTGCAGCGTTAGTTCCGCGTCAGAACTCGTATTCAAAAATCACTCGAATTGTCTAAGTATCTTTATTTGTTATCTAACCTGAATAAAAAAAAATTAAAGTCGATAATCGAATGTTCCACATTTTTAAAAGAAGAACTTCATAGGTACCGTTTGAAAAAATTCGAGATACCTATTATAGTACCTATTATAATAAAACGGCAATTTCATACTTTAACCCCTATTATTAAATTTTAAAGAAATTTGCTCTTTACATCATTTGATTTCAATTAGTATCTTAGAAGATATCGCAGTTTTAAAATAACATCGCAGCAAAATAATGATCAAGCGCATAACAAGGCGCTGGCCGGCCGGTGCGCGGCGGTTCAGAATAAGAAGAATAACAAGATTTACCATAGCACTTCAAGATAGGCTTTGAAAATTGAAGATTTTTCTGGATTTCTCCAAGATACCATCATCAGATCCTGATCTTGAGGATTACAGGACTAAAATTGAAAAAAAAAATTATCGGAATCGGTTCAAGCATTCTCGAGAAATCGGTGAACATATATGTATAGACAAAAAAATTGTGGTCGAATTGATAACCTCCTCTTTTGAAGTCTGTTAAAAAGCGTGATTTTATTGTGATTCTAATATTCAAAAATATTTTCAGCTTCTACGTAAATGAAATCGCGGTTAAAATTTAGCGTTACCCCAAAGTAACTATTCCACGCGAACAAAGTCACGGGCAAAAGCTAGTATATATATAGCTTAACATATTAATAAAATTATGTTCCATAACTGAGAGTGGTCTTTCAACAATAAAATACCGGATCAAAACGTACCATACACGTGACTCGAAAGAAATATTTCTGACTTAATCAGAGCTGAAGACTAACTGTCATCCACATTCACTTGATTAAGGTCCCTTTAAAGAGACATCAGAGATAGTCTTAATCAAAATATCAGCCCGCTGATTTTCTCGCCAGACCTTTTCATGTTGTCTCGATTCGGAACCAGTGGTAGATAGATGCACTTTCGAGATGATACGCACTCGGGTAGGTGCTAATAACTGCTAGTAATTGCTAGCTTGGGTCGTTCATCCCAAGAGAAAAAAATAATGTTATTCTCATTTTATATGGGTGAATTCGGTTGGTTGTTAATTTATTCATTGGTCGCCTAAGAACTTATTTTAATTAATTAGGTTTTATTTGAATTTTTATTTTATAGACTTTAATAATTTAAGTAATGGTTAGATAATATCTGAAATAGTTTTGATGAAAAAAAATATCCTTAAAAAGTACAATCTATATTACAGAGCACTATTCCTGGCACATTCTTCTGGAAACCTCGATTAGGGATCGATTTGAATCTTCCAACAACCGGTGAGCATAAGCTTTGTGTAGTAACTATATTAATAATTTTATCAATAAGTGTTATATAATATGTAAATTAAAATAGAAGAGATAATATGATAGTTATAAGAATAAGAAGTTAGAAATAAAATACGACATAATTATGCGTGACGTATTTTATACTGAATAAATTGTGCTTGTACTATCAGTAGATCTATGTATATTTAGAGAATAGAAGAATGAAACTGATTTGTATAAAAATTTCATTTTTTATTGCCTTTATAAGCAGACGAAACACACGGCCCAGCTGATGGTGAGTGGTTACCGTCGCCCATGGACAGGCATGGCAGAACCAAGCCGCTGCCTACCGTGATGATGTACAGACTATATCATTATGATTACAAGTAAAGACTTGTATGTAACCTTATCCTAAAAAATATCTAAGTTTCCGTTTACCTTACTTTTTTTTAACTTGCCTTCTTAAATTTCTATTGAATTGAAAATAGCATAAAATGTGCAAAGAAAACTTTATAATTTGCTTTGGGTTTAAAAATGCTTGGTTATTTTTTACTATATATTTGTTAAAAAAAATTTCTTTGGTGTGTTATTTTTATGGCATAAATCCATTAAAAATATGTTACCAAAATTTTCCAATTGGTGCTTCAAGTTACGATATACACTTGTAGGTAAACTCTCAATATCGCAACTAGTGTTTCTGACGCTAAAGTGTTATGTTTGTATGATGATAACGGTCATCGATCATGCTCCTCCTCTAATGCTATTTTTTTTTTGCATGTACGTACTGGATAATATTTTTTTGTTAATATTAATAAATTTTTGTACTGAATACGTTTTCAGAAAAGAAATTTCGTGCCTTCTTGCCAACGAAGCATAACATAGAAGAAGGCGTAGTAGTTCTCATAGATGGCTATAAAATAGGGATGACTATCATCGCTTTCGCTGCCGGCTTATCAAGTGCTGACAGCTTTTTACATCTCAATCCCATATCAGCTTACTACCACACGAACGTTTACCGATGGGCACTCAGATATGTCAGTCTGTAAGTTTAACTAACTCATACTTTAAAGATTAAGTCAGAAGTCGTTAAACAAGATGCTGATGATAGCAAAACGTTGGCCATTTATTCTATTGCCCCTCTAGGCAGACGAGTATACGGTCCACCTGGCGGTAAGTAGTCGCGGTCGCTAATCGACATCAGCAATGCCAGGGGTACAGGTAAGAATGGTGCGTGGCAAAGACATCTTTGAAAATGAAATGTGTGAATGAACCCAATGGTTTCAGATACTATGGATGAAATCTACTCCATCTACTAATCTACTCTACTAATCTATAGTAAAAGATGATGAAGGGATCATCTCATTATTTAAATGCTGTTTACGGGTCGACGAACTCATAGTAACTAATGTTAAGAAAGATTATCAGAGCCCATACATTCCACAAAGTAGATGTTGCCAGTTATATGGACACTTGAGGTGGAAGTTCTAATTAATATTAAAGATTGTTCCACCCCGAAAACCGAATCTTATGAACGCTTTGAAGCGGAAATACGGATTAACACTTAATGTTAATGACTAATTTTATGTCTCTGTATTTAAGATTCCCGGTGTGGTTTACCGGCAACGGTGGCAATTATTGCGAGACGCTTAGGGTATGGCGAAGACGTTTCCATTACATGGATCAGTTCGTACCGAATTGGCTAAGGCCTATGTTTCCGTACGTCAAAAAAGACGAATGGGTGAAAGAAGAAAATGAGTTCAAGAGATTTAAAAAATACGCCGAGCCATCATTCGGCAAGCACTACCGTTATCCATCAAAGATCTTTCACAACTTCAAATCGGAAGAAACTAAAGAAACCATAGAAAACGTAGACGATTCGTCTGATTCATTATAAAGTCGCTTCAGGTACCTACTTCGAAAGATTTATTTGGCGGAATATTGTCTGTTTTACTACTACTACTCTACTGTCGTTAATATTTAGTACTAAATAAGGAATTCATTAAAATTTTAAATAAAACATAGTTTTAAAATTTATAACAGTTTTTTTTATTCTTATTTCATAGGAATCGCTTTGTTACAACGCTGTCAATCTAGTACGTCACAGTATATACGTGCGATATTATCTTTGGTTTTACGTAAGTCTAAATGAATCGTTTACGTAATATTTATTTAAATAAAAAATATTATATATATAGATGTGAATATATATATCACAAATATATATGATATTACAAAAACAATTTAAAAGTAGACATATGATTGATTAAAAAAAGTATCAAAATCTTAATTTATCTTATAATAATAATTGCATATTGAGATTCAATAGATTGTCAGACGATTTGCAAATACTGGGTACATACTTATAATTAAACATTCCTTCCTACTGATTGTCGTACATGCTGTTGTCAATTATTATAAAATGCAAATCGATTAAAGACCTAAATTCTCATATGCATTGCTTATATGTAAGTTAAAAGGCAAGATCATATGTGTCTTGTTATGATTATGTTATAGATGGCTCCAAATCAGATACAAAAGGCCGGATCTACACTATTTTATCATATTTTGAGATTAAACTGAATAAAGGGATACATGATGGATGATGCAACCTTTTCAAAAAGAAAAGAGGAAGATAGAGTCACCCTATAAAATAACTGTACATCCGACCTTTTGTCTGTGATAGAGAGCTTTTAGCGAATAATTCATGGATCCACGAAGGAAATCATGATGTATCGAGTTCCTTTGGTGACGAGGAGACCCTCGTGGTAGTGAGTTAGACGTCCCGGATGCATGAGGAGCCAGCCTTTCTTAGTGTTGCGAACCGAACAATTATACCTGATGAATCTGCAGCCACCGCCTTCGTAGTCCACGTCTGGCAAATAAGCAATAAATTTTAAGAAAAAACATAAACACCGGACAGCTGCCCTCCTTTAATAACATAAAAATTGTCGAATGCGAAATTAATTAGGAATTTACTACTCAAAAATTCAAAGCATTTTATAATACTGTTAAGTTTTTTTTCTGATCTGGAGCCGTAACTTGACATTTCTCAGTTTTTTCTCTTACTCAACTTTTTTTTTTATAGCCTTTGTTGGCAGACGATCATACGGCCCACCTGATTGATGGTGAGTGGTTACCGTCGCCCATGGACTTCAGCAATGCCAGGGGCAGAACAAGGCCGCTGCCTACCGTCAAGTACTCTTCACAAGGCTCGTTTGAAAAAGGACAAGTCATAGCCCTCGGGAAACACCGTGGAGGGGAGCTCATGCCAAAGCCGGATGGTACGTGGCAAAAAAGACCCCTAGGAAACGCACTGTGGATGAACGTAGTGGCTCCAGGTAGGTGGATGAATCTACTCCGGTGGCGGGCGGTGCGATACTAAAAACGAGATGATGGAATAATCTCAAATAATTCCTCAGAGCACACCGCATGGAACATACAGTACAAAATGCAGAGAGAAGCAAAGTCCCTCCGTAGACCCAGAGGTTCTAAACGATCCTATTTTTAGACGATATTTTAAACGTGGCATAAAAATTGAATTTTACGCGGGAGCACTATTGGCGGGAAAACCTGACGTTTACAGCTGTCATGTACAGTAAAACCATACAGCCAATCGGTGCTGCTAATTAACAAATATTTTTTGGATTTTTTTGTGGAGTAATGTTGTCAGTGTCTATGGTCGAACTTCGATCATTGGACGAATTCAAGTTTTTATACAGATGCCATTGAGTTTTTTTTTGTGTAGAATATTTTTTTACTTACTAGGAGTGTTAAGAGCCAAGTTGATGGTATATGTAGAGGAATCGTGATGAGGTCGCAGCGATGGTTGTTCATCCGGTCGGTAACGAACAACAAAATTCATTATAGACGCTGGAGGCTGTTGGAAAAAAATTAAAATCATATATAGTATACCTTTTTCCCTCAAATTTTTGTTTTAGCATTTAACTAGTTTAGGTATTTAGGGCTGTTTAGTTGACACTGAACTGTTCATGAACAACAATGACCGCTCAAAACAAAGCAGAAAGGAAGTAAACTTATTTTTCTTCAATGGAAGTAAAAAGATCATTACAAAGTTAGATATTTTGAATTTTAGTGAAGATTCCGAATTGTCAGGTATTTTACTAATATTTTGTAATACACGTATATATTTATATCTAATATTTAACTACCTAAAAATTTCGATCCATATTATTTCATGTCCATGTCTCAGTTCCAAGAAGTTATGTTTAAAATCTCAATTTAAAAAAAAAACAATAACTTAAGGTTATTAAACAAATAGAATTACAATAAAATTGTATGTACCATATCCATAATTTTGCACATAAGTCTGATGATTTAATAAATAGTATTGATAATACAGAATAAAAAAAAATTGGAAATTCACATTTAATTAACAGTGAGTTATAAACGGTGGGCATTAAGGTCTTTATTTATGAAGAAATACAAATTCCAGTTGAATGAATAAATTTAAATCTAAAACTCAAAGAGAAGTCGAGGAAGATTGCCAACCAGGTGGACGGACATTATCAAGGAGGCCACAAACACCAGCGTCCCGGGCGCCATTAAGCAGGCCGAATGCAGGCAACATTGGAAGAAGCTGGTGCAAAAACTGGACCAAGGTGGTCACAACCCTCAGTAATGAGGAAACGACAGAGAAGAAGAAGAAGAAGAAGAAAACTCACATTATGATAGTATCCGGTGAAGACTAATTCTTGAAGTGGTCGTACGTAATCCTTCAGGATCTGTAGCCAATGACGTTCCAAGCCGACTTGGCTCATGTGGATATCTCGAGTGGGCACAGCTTCGTAGCCGCTTTCCAAACGTTTGTCCTACAGGTTTAACAATTTATCAAAAAAGTAATAAAGCACTCGACTGTCATATTGTTGATATTTGTTACTAGAGGCAGGACCTCTTGTGAGTCTGCACAGGTAATACCACCACCCTGCCTATTTCTGCCGTGAAGCAGTAATGCGTTTCGGTTTGAAGTGTGGGGCAGCTGTTGTAACAATACTGAGACCTTAGAACCTATATCTCAAGGTGGGTGGCGCATTTACGTTCTAGATGTCTATGGGCTCTAGTAACCACTTAACACCAGGTGGGCTGTGAGCTCATCCACCAATCTAAGCAACAACAAAAAAAATAAAAAATACAATTGACTGCGATGGCAGTGCGTACTGTATCACCGTCTTAGTTATAACCAATATATCAGACACGAGCAAGTATTTCGTTTCAGTTTGGAGTTCGGTACAGTCCTTATACAATCCAGTTGAGATCTGTTTTTGATTTCTTGCCCGAGCAGACAGACAAAAGCATACGGCCCACCTGATGGTAAGTGGTTACCGTCGCTCATGGACGTCAGCAATCCCAGGGTAGCCAAGCCGCTGCTTACCTCTTAAACCGGCCTCTGTCTCATGTCTCAAAGTAGGTGGGATCTTTAACTTTGGTTCATTCTTATTTGTGTTCGCTAATGTTATGATGTTATTATTTCATCTTGGAAGTCATTCGTGAACATTTATTTGTTAAAGAGTGTTTCATAAATTTTATAAATTTTCCGAAATTGGTATCTGCTTACTGGATTCGAACACAAGCACAGTTGCATCACTCGAATGCATGAATTTATGAGTAATTCATGCATGTAATTTATTTAACTTTACTATACATATATAACAAACACCCAAATTCAGATTCGTTTATTAAATAGTCATTGGTGTTGAAGATTCAAAAATTACACGAAATTGCCTTCGTTCTACTACCTTATCTATTATATTGAAAAGATCTAAATATATTTTTATTCCTTCAGTTCTATATGATAAAAAAAGGGGTAAAGTGAAACCTTCGTTAGCATTTTATCTCATTCGCTCACAGATAAAATTATATAGATTGTCTCTTTTCAATGTCGCTTCGTTTCATCGAGAAAAGAGGAGGTGAGTTTTGTACACGAACTCATTCTGATTCGACAGAATGAATCACATAATATTTAACTAATTTGCAACTCACATTATTGGTTCCATCGCTCCATTTTCCGTATGCTTCCATTATAGCGATCCACTCATCACAGAATCTATCAGACATCAAGGGGAACCAATAAACATCAGTGCACGGCTGAAAAATAAACCAAAATTATTTATGGAGGTTGTAATTTAAATTGATATTAGGGCAAGCTGTTTAGATGGATACTTATTTGGTAACAAATAAACTTTTGGTAAGCGCGATAAAAAGTTTCAATGCGATGAAATACAAAACAGTTCCGATGTATCCGCCAAACGCTCGAGAAGATCTCTGGCATTAACAATGTCACTGTAAATGTATACATAGTCTTCTCACATTAAAAATGTACTAGTCGTCCCGCAGTAGTCGAAATTGGACTTTAATCAATTGAAATTTTATGTTTAAACATTATTATGGTTCTATTCTCAAATACTATTACAATTATACAATATAATCACAGATTTCGAAACGAATTATGTATCTTTTATTGCTTAGATAGGTGGCCGAGCTCACAGCCCACCTGGTGTTAAGTGGTTACTGCAGCCCATAGACATGTACAACGTAAATGCGCCACCCACCTTGAGATATAAGTTCTAAGGTCTCAAGTATAGTTACAACGGCTGCCCCACCCTTTAAACCGAAACGAATTACTGCTTCACGGCAGAAATAGGCAGGGCGGTGGTACCTACACGTGCGGACTCACAAGAGGTCCTACCACCAGTAAATCAAGTTACCTTCTTAACCCTTTGATTGCAATGTAGGTCACCGGTGCCCTATGCGGCACACTTAGGTAATAATATCGATTTATGTTACTAAGCGCCTGGATTGCCTAACTTTGCCTTCTTTTGTTTGTTAATGTATATTTTAGTCTTTTAAGTCTCTTAGAAATAAATTCATTCTCAGTATATCCGGATTCGTCTTACTCAAAGGCTACTAGATACTCCGGCGTATTAGCGCGCCTAGTATCCATCAGTAAGTATTTACAGTCGGCATCAGTGCGCCATTTCGATAATGCGGCACGACACGAGAAACCCCTCATCGTGGCCGCCGGTAACTACATTCCCGATCCTGCGGACCGAATGGTAAACAGTTGACATCGCCCAAAACACGTCATTTCGGATCTTCATGATCCACTAATGGTGCTTTTAGGTACCCCAAGCACCGGTCATCGTTCTCGTCGAACCCGTCAGTTGTGACGAAGGGCTCGACGAGTAAATTAACCCACAGACACAGTCCACTGAGTTTCTCGCCGGATCTTCTGAGTGGGTCGCGTTTCCGATCCGGTGCTAGATTCTGCGAAGCACTGCTCTTGCTAGGGTCAGTGTTAGCAGCACTCCGGTTTCACCTCCGTGAGCTCACCTACTAGTTAAGTTAAAACGAATCGTACTAAGAGAAAATGTAGTCTGATGTTGCACTCCAACAAATAACAATAATGTTTGTACTCCAATAATAAACATTATTTATAATCGTGCTCTATTTTATTGTATTGTTAGTGCAGAACAATTGTTTTTACCATTAAATGTTTCCGATCCTCTTCGAAGTTAGCCAGGTATTCAGGGTGCAGATAACGGGTAGTCCATTCCATATTATTCTCGAAGAGCTGGTACATATCGGGATGGGTTTTTGTTATGTCATATGTTTCCGGATTAACGAGATGGCCGAAATCCTCTTCGTTGCTCACATACATGAATATATTCTGTAAAATTGTTTAGTTCTTTTTTAGAACGTTGTATTGCATTGGTGTAAAAGTGTTTAGTTCTTTTTTAGAACTTTGTATTGGATTGGTGAAAATTAAAACAGAGTTATAAATCAGAATAAGGATGCAACATACGGGTCCAGTTTGTTTGAAATTATTATATAATAGCAATAGAAGATTAATTTAGTTTTTATACAGCACACGGGTACAAATATAATAAAGTAGCATAGTACAATTTTTTAGAGTATGAACAACATTTAATTCGTTTTATTTTATATTTATAACTATACTAGCTATTACCCGCGGTTATTATTATTCGCCCGCGTATACATGGAAAAGTGCCAATACTTTTTCTATGGTCTTACCTAATTAAATTTCTAATGATAATAAAATAGATAAAACAGTTTCCCGTGGGATCGAGATATTTTTGCGGGTTAAAAGGTAGCCTATATCACTATCCTAATCTAAAATAACTACTTTAGTATCGACGTAAAAGAAGGGCAAACAAACATATTTTCACATTTATAATATTAAAATTATAATATGAATTTTCTATTTGAAAGCTGAAAAGAGTTTATTTGTTAAATGAATCATAAATATTATATTATAAAATTTTATCCCAAAAGTATGTCTCAAAAATGTAGGTAGGATTACTATAAAAAACTATGAATTGTAATTCCTGGTGGTGGAGTCCATTGAGAGATTGCACGGGTAGTAGGTACCACCATCTTGCTTACTTCTGTCGCGCAATCCTGCACTCCGACTAAGAGCGTAGGACATATAAGATACATTTGACTTGGAGCTCATGTATAATGGTTAGAGGCGCTCACATTTGAAGTTTCTATTGGATTCGATAACCACTGAAAACGGGTTACAAGATATTGCTACTATTTATTGCTATAGAAACAAAAAAGATCTGACTGGTTTCGTGACTGGTTTTCACTAATACTAATACGCATATTATATGAAATATATCCTCCTGATATATATCTATATTAATATACGTTTGTAAAACTGTAATCACTTGCATAAAAATGACAAATACAAGAAACGAGTCAACTTATAACCATTATAGTTATTATTGGTGGTAGTACGTCTCGTGTGAGTCCGCACGAGTAGGTACCACCACCCTGCCTATTTCTGCCGTGAAGCAGTAATGCGTTTCGGTTTGAAGGGCGGGGCAGCCGTTGTACTGTTAAAAGTGAGACCTTACAACCCATTTCTCCAGGTAGGTGGCGGCATTTACGTTGTAGATGTCTACGGGCTCCGATAACCACTTGACATCAACTGGGCCGTGAGCTCGTCCACTTATCTAAACAACAAAAAAAATAATTTAGACAACAACTATTAAATTTAGGAACAGGAGAACTATAGTTGACTTACGAGCTCTCTGAGACTCGCGCAGAATGCCATGTCAGAGTCGTGTCCTTCCTGTACATAAGTCACAGCTTTGGCCTTAGGCGCTCTGAACAGCGACATCTTCAGCAGATAGCAATTGGTAATGAAGGGCACATTCCATACTCCCCTGGAACAAATTTCGTTTACATTCGTAGAAAATGTATTGTTCAATTTTTCGCTACTGATAACAATTAACGTAATGTGAACGATAACCTCGAGTTATTGTACTTTTGTTGAACTTTAAATGTGGGCCGCTGAGATTAAAATAATCAGTCTTTTTTTTTAATTTTATCATATTTATTCTTATCAGTGTTTATTCTGTTTAGAATTATTCTGTTAAACAATGTTTAAATGATCCGTTATTTGTAACAGTATTTGAAAGGGACCTCAAAATGTCCTCTACAGTACGTTGACTTTATTCCCTTTTTGGTTCGTCTCAATAAAATGTCTCTCCTAGACTGATAACTTTATATGTGTATTTTCTCTAATATCGAATGTAATTTTTATATATGTATATTTATTTTGTGTTAATTGACAAGATACATAGATCGGAAACTAAATATACAGAATTTATTTTCGGTAACAAACACTGCAATACCTAAACAGATAACATTGTTAAAGCGAACTCTGTTGTTGGATACAACGCGTCCTATACTTAGTTCAAATAAGTAAATATATTTTTCTTTTTCTCTATCGAATCCTTTAGTGGTGTCGCTTGTCGAATCACTAGCAGGGTACCGTTCTCTGAATAGCCTTCGGTCTTAGGAACGGTTTCATTGTTCCCGGTAACTACATAAACGAGCTATCAAAACTATTTCCACACATGTGAGACCAAGCAGTTACGATGCATTTCAGTCAGAGGTGACTTAGTTTTATCATTCGTATTGTAATAATATCATTTCATTGACCTATAAATGCTTCGAATGTTATTTGTATATCAGCATACGAAATATAAAAGGAAATGACGAATGTCGTACATGAGTTAGGGGAGACAAGGGCCCTCCTCATGACACCTCCGTTATTTAGCCAATTGAAAGATTGGCGCGCCAAGACTCGCCGATAATCCCAGTTGCACTCTGGACCTTTAGAAGAACATACCAGGCCCCCAACACTCTTTATTAACTATATTTACATGCGGAACGACTGACGTGCTTCGTTGGGAGTAACGACGTTATGTTCTCTAAAGCGAAATTTATCTTCAGTTTACTCTTACTGTCTTTGATTCTAATAAATCAAGCTGATGGTAGACGAGGGCGACCCAGGAGCAGGACCAAGTCGAAGGTAACGACGACTTGTATATTTTTTTTAAATGTTAAATGATCGAGTTCCTTAATGTTTTTTGTTTAACGATCAGGTGCAGATCGGGTTGCCGATCACGGGCAAGTACCGAGACCCAGAATCCGACCAATACTACAATAATAATGATGTAAGTCGATGTAATAGATTATCAACATATGCTGTAATATTTTGTTTTTGTTTGTTTATTGTCACTATTATCGGTGTTCGTTTTACTCATCATCAATATTCCTCCAGGGAGCAAAGATTTTACTGGCCTCACACTTTGATCTTGAGTATTCACTGGGGCACAAGATCGCGTTCCTCTGCATCGCGAAGGGTAACCCGCGGCCGCATATCACGTGGTTCAAGGACGGAGTGGAAATATTCGCTCATCATTATTTACACGTAAGTAACAAAACTTTTTAATATCAACCAATTAGCGAGTTAAATGTTCGAATACATACAGATAGTGAAGTTATCTTTCCGTTGTCAAAGGTCTCGACTTTTGGCATGTTTCGCAAACGAAAAATTCCTAAAGGCGAAAACATGTTACGACATTCATTAAATTAATGTGTAATCACCATCAGTTCCAATGAATATTAATTACAGTGAAACATTAAGTACAACAATAGTTATCTCATTGTACAGTAGGACAGTAGCTAAAAATATCTCTTGTATCGAAAAAACATGCGATAGTGTACACACAGTGCACGAATTCTGGCTGGTGAAGTCATAAAATCGTGCGACCCATATGCGTTAACTACTGGCACGTTCTAGAATGTTCTGTTTCTGTTACATTTAATTTCAGCGTGACTAAACATATAATAATAATTAACAAGCAGATCGAAAGGAGTAACCTATAAGATATTTTCAGGTCATTCCTTTTTACTACTTATGCTGGATCTGTTTGGAGACATGTTTACTGATAGGAATGTTCATTGTGCTGATTGCAAGCGATTCTCCGCTCGGAATCATATATCAATTGAGTTAATAAAATAGCTGACATCAGTCGGTGATACGCTGCGACGGTTTCGTTTGCATCTTGATAGAATAGACCATTAATTTAAATTCGTTGAAGCATGAGCCGTTAATGTACGACTTTCGGGTATATTTTTCATGTTCTTAACACGATTTTACAGATTCACGAATGGCCAATTGGCGAAGATCGTGTGAAATCTAAGATCGAGATCGATCCAGCTACACAGATGGACGCCGGCGTTTACGAGTGCACTGCCGACAACATGTATTCTATTGACCGTCGCTCCTTCAAGACTGACTTCTCTATCGCTTTTGACTGATTCAATGTTAACTTTAGATTTTTACATTAGAACAGTTTATATATATATACATAATATATCATAGTCTCGATATTTAAATGCATATAATATATCGGAACACAACAAACAATTGATTTTGTTTATTTTATTGTTAAATGGGATCAAATCAATATGGGGCAATGAATAAACGAGGGCATAATAAATATGCGACAATTGCATAGCAACGAGTGATTGCTAAGCTTTGAAATTGATAGTAAGTAATACCTACTAAGCTTCACATTATGAATATTTAGAAAAGTAATTTAAGTACAACATGTTTATGTATACAATATTAATTAAATACATTTTATGTAAATTGTTTTTATACTCACTTTATAACTCCATATACTATGTCCATATAATCTGCGGATCTCGCATAAAATCCAGCAGAGTTGAGAGCTCCCCAGAAGTTGGACCAGGCTTTGCCAGGACGCGTTAGCATCGGCGCGATGACGTCATAGCCAGAAGAGAGCAAATAACGTAAAACGTTACTTTCAAGACGAGACAGGCTGTCCACAGAGAACAGATAGTCGCATGCACTGTTGATGCATCTTTCCCTGCAAAATAAAAACCACATTTTTTAAATATACCACTAAATTATATGTTTAACGCCAGAGCTCATGTATAAATTCATATTTTTTACTCTGCCCAAACTGACCCTACGTACTTTTGCACAGCTACCATTCTATATTTAACATTATTCTATGTTATCAGGGTTTATAACACTAAAATGAAATTAGAACATTTAATATGTTTTTTTAACCATAACAACAGTCCTTATAATTTTTCATAACACATTGCGTTTCGTGTTGATTTTATACTTGTTAAGTTATTGTCTACTTGAGTAGCAGCTCGCATTGCATTGGCTTGCATTCTGAGAAAAGTGTTTTACGCTTGGCCACAAAAACTCAAATTACATTTACAGATAAGTATTAAAAATCGCCATTAATTTAAACAAATAGCTTACACAAATAAAATGTACAAATTACCCGCTCCCATAATATAACTTATTTTGAATATTTAACCTATTCTGAGATACATATAGGAAGTTCAAAATGAGCAGAATAATTTACTTACTTTGCAAGGTTTCTTGCTTCTGCTTCTGAAATGAAGTCTCCAGAATTTATACGTTTTGCTGAGGCATATTCTTTAGAGTAGGCTCCGAAAAATTTCTCCACCTCATTCTCGTGATATTCTACATTATTGTGTATAAACAAATGAATTTTATTCTTAGGATAATCAGTATCAATGACTTGATCTAAAAAATCTTCTAGAAATGGTGTTGCTTGCTCTATGAATACTGCCATCATAACACTCGGTAAGTTGTCCTCCTGGCAAACAATTAAGTGTTGTTACATTTTAGTATGAAGTACTATTAGTACATAGTATTAATACAATATAGCATAATATACAGTATAGTACACAGTATAATAAGGAATACCTTCAACTGAATCTTTTTCTCTTTACACAGCACACAGCCCTCATTCACTGACCAAGACTTAGCCAAATAGTTTCCATAATGGTTCAGGGTATTTTTAACTGGTCCATTACCATGGACAATTAAAGGCCTTAATTTTGTTACCACATTTTCAATATATGGCCATTCTTCTGTAGTATTAGCCCTTAGTTGTACATCAGCTGAAATGAATGTATTGTGAGGAAAAAAACCAAGGAAATAAGCTTTTTATTTCAAAAACATGAATATATCAATACATACAAAGAGCTCCATTTAAGTTTTGGAAAATCTCTGATTTATGATCAAGTGTAATTTTGAGTGATTCCCTCAAATCCTTATCAAGATATATCTTTGTGTAGTACAATTGATCATCATCCTTATCCTTGATTGGGTTGCTATTGATAATCTCATATATTTCTGGCAAGTAACCTGTTCGACAAATACAAACGAAATAAAAGTTATATGAATGAATTCAAAATATCTCCCCGCTGCAGGAAATAAATCTATATTATCAGATAATACACAAATGTCAATTTTACCTATAAATCCACCAGAGTTCAAATATGGACTTACAACTTCAATGTTTGGATATTGAGTTGCAAGTTTTGCATCAGGCCAACAAAATTGTTCAGCAGAAAAAAGCACACGTGTATCAGGAAAAGACTTGAATTTCTTTACAATCTCATCTAAATTCCCCAAGAACATGACGTCATAACTGAAATAAATCATGAAGTTATTTAATGTTTCAATTAGAAATTTAAAGTAAAAAATTTACAAATGTGCATACCTGTCAGTGAAAAGTATTATTTTCTCTTTGTTGTCAGCTTTCATCAGCTTCTCAAGCCTGTTTTTCAGAAGAATTACTTTTTGTCCACCACCGGGGAAGTTCATGTCACCACCTGACCACTCTTCACCCTTGCCCAATACCTCGACATCAATATTGTACACTTTGGCAGAACGTAAAAACCTCTCTAGGCCATGGTTATCGTCAGTGGCAACAGTCAACACAACCACTTCATCTGCAAAGATATCATTAGGTTCTGTGATAGGGTTAATAATTGAAAAAAAACATTTTTGTTTTGATTTTATAATAGCACATAAGTGGAACCCTCATCTTATTATTCATAATGAATCATAAAGACGTACATAGTATTCTTTGATTGTTTTTGAAAAATAATTCAGGTGCAGCTTTGGTAAAATAAGTACAGTAAAAATGGGGTCCCTCTCACCTGTAGCTTGTGTATGACTGTTGAAAAGAATAACAAATACACATAATATTAATTGTATAAAAAGTCCCATTTTTTGAGTGAACCACATCATAAATATAAGTTCGACCGTCCCCGAACAGCGAACTTCCGTCACTACTGTCGCAAGAGCATTTACAACAAGTAGAGATGGGACAAACAACCTAAAATTGACAACTTATTTCAACGATTAATAATAATTTTCGACGTGCTTTTAAAAAGCTTTTGACTCTATAACTTTTAAATAGGTACATAATATTTGTATTAGTAATAGTTTTAGACTAAATAAAATACGCACATTATATGTTAAAAAATTTTCGTGGTGAGTATTCGTTACTAAAAATATTAGTATTTCGTTTAATAGCAAAAAGCACTGTGAACGCTAGATGGTATCGAATATTCATGTGTTGATTCAGTGCGTTAAATTAAGCTTTAATCGAAAATCTTTCAATATTATAACCGATGAAAAAACGTAGTAGACTTAGTCAAAACACATTTTACCGGAAAAAAGGTTGTTTAATTTAGTTGATTATCATAAGATATAACTTCTATTTTAAATTGTGTGATAGATTAAAATTGTTTCATAATTAATTGTTTTGGTATCTTAATCGTCGTCGTGGCCTAACGGATAAGACGTCCGGTGCATTCGTGTTGAGCGATGCACCGGTGTTCGAATCCCGCAGGCTGGTACCAATTTTTCTAATGAAATACGTACTCAACAAATGTTCACGATTGATTTCCACGGTGAAGGAATAACATCGTGTAATAAAAATGAAACCCGCAAAATTGTAATTTGCGTAATTACTGGTGGTAGGACCTCTTGTGAGTCCGCACGGGTAGGTACCACCACCCTGCCTATTTCTGCCGTGAAGCAGTAATGCGTTTCGGTTTGAAGGGTAGGGCAGCCGTTGTAACTATAATTGAGACCTTAGAACTTATATCTCAAGGTGGGTGGCGCATTTACGTTGTAGATGTCTATGGGCTCCAGTAACCACTTAACACCAGGTGGGCTGTGAGCTCGTCCACACACCTAAGCAATAAAAAAAAATAAAAAAAATTAATGTTCATGCCTTTACTTATTTTCATTTGGTATGGAAAAATTACTCGTGTCATAGATCCCATTCTATCTTCAGGTCGTTTCCGCAAAATCTAAAGATCAGCCGGGAGACCTCTATTTATTAAGAGGCCCACGTTTTTCTTTTTGTAGGTAAGTTTTAATTATGTACTGCTCTTCCTATAAACGATATACGTTTACTTTACTAATGTACCTACTTTGACAAACTTATACCGAAACAAGGAAGCTAAGATGTCAAAATTAAAATATTTTGGAGTTTTCGTGTCCTCCGTCGTCGTTATATCATTACTAAGTAAGAATTCGTAATAATTTAACTAATAGCCTTCATAGTACAAGCCATAGTGTCCTTTGCTCTGAGTAAATGTTAACTCAGTCAGATCAAGCGACAGAGTACCTATTACAGATCGACGATGCAAGCATCGAGATAAATACAGGCCTCATTAATTCAAAGTTTGATCCGGTCACAGTCCTCGTCGAACCCATCGTTTGCGACGAAGGGCTCGACGAGCGAACTAACCCATAGACACAGCCCACTGAATTTCTCGCCGGATCTTCTCAGTGGGTCGCGTTTCCGATCCGGTGGTAGATTCTGCGAAGCACTGCTCTTGCTAGGGTCAGTGATAGCAATTCTCCGGTTGAGCCCCATGAGCTCACCTACAAACGTTAGGGCGAAGCTGAAATAGCCTCTCAAGGCTACCAGCACAGGTAGGAAAAAAAATATCAAAGTTTTTAAATTTGCTTTACTAGCTTAGATTGTTAATTTAAGTCGCTATGTAATTAGACATATTTTTGATAGCTAAATATATATATACATATATCTAGTCAGGTCATAAATTCTGTCACATGTTTAATGTAAAATAATTGAAACCAGTTTATTCATTATGTAACAATTCATATACCAAAATGAACTTAACAAAACATAGATTCTTATGACACTAAAGTTTATTCAAAATGATCTCCGTGATTTTGAATACAGGCCTTCAATCTGCGCGGCCAGTCGTCTATCGCAGCACGAACGAGGTCCATGTCAATAACGGCGGCTGCCTTAATCAAGGATGTCTTGAGTGACTCCAAATTGGGATGAGGCTTTGAGCACGCCTTTTCCTCCAAGTATTGCCATATCTTGTAATCTAACGGATTCAAATCTGGACTGGAGGAGGGCCAGTCTTCGTGCCGGATAAAGTCGATTTCACGCGCCGCCAGCCAGTCTTGTGTGCTCTTCGCTCTATGAGCTGGCGCCGAATCTTGTTGGAATACCCAGTGCCTGTTATTGAACATGGTATGAGAAACAGGTTCCACAAGGTTCGTCAGGACTGTATTTTGATACACAACTGCATTCGTTTTTACACCTTTCTCACAAAAATGTACCTCTGTTAAGCCCCAATAAGAAACTCCCAACCATACCATGAGCGAGGATGGAAAATGACCTCGTTGGACACGCGGAATACGGTTGCTCGCTTCTTCACTACTGTGTGCGTACACCTTATCATTTTGTTTGTTGTAGCTCTCTTCTACGGTAAAAATTTTTTCATCCGAAAAAAGAATTTCCCGATATTTTTTTCCCGCGTACCGCTTCAACAAAGCGCGGCATCTCTTCAGTCTCAGGTCCATTAGACGAGCATTCAAACGATGTCCTGTTTTTCTTCGATATGCCCGAAGCCCTAAGTCTTCATTTAACACCCTTTTCACCGTGGTTCTGCTTAACCCCATCTGAAGGGCCAACAGTTTCTGCTTACGTTTGGGATTTCTTTGAATTCGCGCCTTCACAGCTTTTATCACTGCTGGAGTCCTAACAGACCGAGGGCGACCACTTCTTGACCTGTCATCTACACTAGAGTCTTCATTGTATCGTTTGATGGTACGATAAACGAATCTTTTGGTTATATTCAAATTTTTCAGTATGTTAAAAATTTGAATTGGCGCGTAACCGCAACGATGCAACGCAATAACTGCAACACGGTCTTCTTTAAGCGTCCACTCCATATTTAAAAATGAGTAAAATTCTAAAAGTATACATTTTTATTTTCATGAACAATTCGAAATTCGAATTCAATAAACTTTTTTGTGGCCAGCATTCTAAAAGAAAAGTTTTTACTGTGTGACAATACTTATGACCTGACTAGTTACATATATATTGTATTTTTAAAGGTTACGGTGTGTCACAAATTGGATATAAAAATCATACAATTACGTCAAACTTTGCACACGAGGACATTGGAGGTAACATCAATAGTACACCAGCTACAGGAACTGAGTATATACACTATGGCAAATTTGTAAAAGTGAATCTCGATGGTCAGACCTAAAATTATAGACGCTTTGAATTTGATTATAATAACGAATATCGCTCTTCCTCGAAATCTCTTAAAGAAAAAGGATCAGTATCTCCGTAATTTGTAAGATTTTATGGGCACACATACATCTCGAAACAGCGCACTATGAAGAACAAAGACAGGATTTTTTACTACGACGATTTATTACTTTATGCAGTACTTTTACTACCCGATCCTGTGGACCGAATGGTAAACGTCGTCCTAAACACGTCATTGCGGATCCTCCCGATCCATTAACGATACTTTAAGATACCTCAAGCACCGGTCACCGTCCTGGCCAAATCCGTCGCTTGCGACGAAGGGCTCGACGAGTAAATTAACCCATAGACACAGCCCACTGAGCTTCTCGCCGGATCTTCTCAGTGGGTCGCGTTTCCGATCCGGTGGTGCATTCTGCGAAGCACTGCCCTTGCTAGGGCCAGTGTTAGCAACACTCCGATTTGAGCCCCGTGAGCTCACCTACACGTCAGGGAGAAGCTGAAATAGCCTCTCAAGGCTATCAGCATAGGTAGGAGAAAGGAAAAAAAACGTTTTATTTCAATATTTATACTTCTATACTTAATAATAATAATAATATTATAAAGAGGAAAGATTTGTTTGTTTGTTTGTTTGTATTGAATAGGCTCCGAAACTACTGCACCGATTTGACAAATTCTTTCACTGTTTGGACACTACACTATTCCCGAGTGACATAGGCTATAATCTTTTTTGAAAAAAATTAGGGATCCTTACTAATACTCTAATAATGGAACCTAAGGTGTAAAAAAAATACCTAAAATGTTCTTTACATCGCGTGCCCTGCGAAAACTATTCGTGATAGAATAAAATAATGTAATACGACTTTGTAGAACACATTATTATTTACAAAAAGTGTCGCGACAGCATATGTCTAACTATTATAGTTATGCCGCAAAAAAATAAAACAGCGTCAAATATAGTTGAAATTTTTGTTAAAGACCCGAACGGGGCTGGAGCGGGCCGCTAGTTAAAAATATATTCAGATGTCAGCGATTATTGTCGAATTTAGATCATTGGTTGTTTAGTCCTCACCGAAGAAGTTAATAATTTACTTCTTTGTTCAACAGTCAATATTGATCTCAATAAATTAATAAAATTAAAATTTATTGCATGTTTCTATTCGTACATTAAAATTGTCTAAATTATACGGTAGACTTAAAGACCCGATCACTAGTGTTTTTGATATAATCAAATCTGGCTCGCTGAGTTAACTATTTTTCATAAGATTGTGTTTTTCCTATTGATAGTAAGACTTAGTAGATTATTTGTAATCAATGAGTAAATTGAAGAATTCTCAATATTTATATACACCACATAACGAAACGCGCTTAATAACGACTTGAATAACAATATGACCACATGAAACCGTTTCAGAAACAGTTTCCGCTTCCGAAGCGATAAGCTTACGCTGCCAGTTGACCGGTATAGGCGATAAATTAAATTTTATGGTGAATTGCAATGACTCACATTATTTAATCTGTTGTTTGCTCTATTCCAAACAATAATCAAGATTAATAGAGAACATTTTCCCCATAATTAGTATTTGTCATCGACTTGGCTTTTGATAGTTCCTTAATAGTGTTTCTCGAATATCGCTCTAACAAAAATTACTATTTGACAATGCTGAACAAATATTAAATGTATAACCTATGATGCTGAAGTAATAACCTGTAAGCGACAGTGAGATCATAATTTATTACCGACGAGTTTTTATTTTTATGAGCTTACAGCGCAAATTTTTGCAAAACATACTGCTATTACACTCACTCAGTGCGCTCTCTCTTTCTGGCTACTATCAATGCTCCTGGAAACCACTTCAGCGGCAGCCATATTAAGGGTTGAGATACTTCTTGAATAAAATTAAACTTTAAAACGATTAGAACAAAATGAAGGTCGAGAAGAAGAGTCGATCCTATTATTCTCTGGTCGAAAACGATAATAACATAATGTAGATGCAAAAATCTTTTTCTGATTTGCTTATTTGCATTTGTCGAGATTAATAGATTTTTTTCAAAGTAATAGTAATTCAAAGTAATCGTTTTCAAGAGCATTTAAATATAATTAATATTGCTTCAGGAGTTTTTGTAAAACGGCAGCGAAAATACGTTTTTAGAATTATGTGAAATTTATGGTAGTCTGTAGTTTAAATCACATTAAAACCAAATTAATGGCCAAATATCATTTGGATGCGGCCCGATTAGTATCAAAATCTTTATAAACACAAAGAAACTAGTTTAAGAAGCACTAAGCAAACCGATATTAACATATAACGGTAGGCAGCGGCATATCTCTGCGCTTGGCATTGCTACCGTCCATGAGCGACGGTAACCACTCATCAACAGGTGGGCCGTATGCTCGGCAATAAAAAAAATTAATAATATATACATAATTATTTGAATTATTATTAAATACCTACATACTTAATGAAAATGTATATCTTTGGTTGGTGTTTTATTGAGAATTCGTATAATACTCGTGAGACAGTGTCGTGCCGCTGATAGTTAAATTATGTATTTTATTTTACATTACAATTATTTAAAATACGATTTGTATACATAGACTATCGCTATATCGAGGTGTTGAGAAGTCTATGCGACGCCGCGACGATGACCGTACAAATCCAGGATTGCCAGTCTAGATCTAGCCTAGCTGCAGCGGGGTGTCCGACATGGAAATGTTATATCTCCGAAATTCTTCACCGCTGCACTTGAAGATGTGTTCAAGACGCTGGAGCGGAAAACACGCGGAATCAAAGTCAACGGAGAGTACATCGCGCACCTTCGATTTGCCGATGACATAGTCATAATTTCGGAACCACTGGATGACCTCAGTCGCATGCTCAACGATTTCAACGCTGCTTCCCGATGTGTGGGACTGCGGATGAACCTTGACAAGACGAAAGTCATGTACAATGATCAAATCGTCCAGGGCCAAGTTACCATCTCGAATGCAGCAATTGAAGAGGTAAAATACCTACTTTGTCTACCTCAGTCAGGCTATCCAGTTTGGCTGGGGTAACTTCAATACAGAGATTGAGAGACGCATACGACTGGGCTGGTCGGCATTTGGGAAATTCTGCTCGCAAATTCCTCAATACCTGAAGATAAAATTCTTTAATCATTGCGTTCTCCTCGCGATGACCTACGGTGCGGAAACCTGGACACTGACGGCGCGGCTGGCCCATAACTTAAGAGTCGCACAGCGGGCGGTCCGAAGAGCTATGCTCAGTATTTCTCAAAGAGAAAAAATCCGGAACGAATAAATTCGACGGAAAACCAAAGTCCACAACATAACAGAGGACGACAAAGTTAGCAGGCTAAAGTGGCAATGGGCCGGTCACATCTGTCGAGCCAGCGACACCAGCGAATGGAGACCACGGATGGGTACCAGGAGCGTGGGGCGTCCTCCAACGAGGTGGACCTACGACTTAGTGCGCACGGCTTGGAGTCGTTGGACGGGGAAGGCGGAGGACCGCGTTCTGTGGAAGGCATTAGGGAAGGTCTAAGTCCAGCAGTGGGCAGATAAAGCCTAATGATGATGATGATACGATTTGTAATCAATTGAAAACTATAAAATACATAAATATGTATATATTATATCGAAATTTTATGTAATATTAATTATATTTAAAATAGTATTGCATTGCAGTTTTTATTGTCTTTAGCGCTCTGTGCAAAACATAACTCACTATCTTGGAAGGGTATAAGAGAGGAATGTTATAGTTTTTTTTACTATTTATTTTGCTATTTAAAGAGGCAATGACTTCAAGCCTTCATAGCTTGAATTGCAATGCATGATTACGTTTCAAGATTTTTGGTTAATTTTAAAAACATGCAGAATAATGCTGGTAGTAAAAAAAAATCTCAATCAGATTCAAAGTCTACCGCAGCACTCGACGAAATTCCAAAATCTACACCCATATTCGTACAGAAATGCCGTACTACTAAACACATGCCATCTCACACGTAAATTTCTCGGATCCTAGTTATAATTCCAAACCCTGCTTTATTTGGTAGTCGCCTTTGAGCCAGTTATAAAAACACCCCTAAAAACAGAGTGAACAGGAAATAGATACTTTAATAACATACACGGTGTACAACACATACGGTGTATTATCCGCCATCGAAGACCGCGGGTTCACGATATATTAATTCACTAAAACGGAGCGGTTTATCAGAAAATAAACAAACACAAAGTTATCAGCAAACAAAAGTGCAAAGTACGCGAATGCAATAAAAGAAGTAAAGAACAAAATGAAGAATTACGAACCTTTGTGGAAAAAGTTTTCGGTTTTGCAAGCTGTATCGTCACTGTCTTTGATGCAGAATTCTTGTGATGTTGACGTATCAGGCCTCAGGGCGATGAATATAGCTATTACTAGACAGCAACATTTTAGAGGGAAGCATCGGTGCCTTAGAACCATGTTGCCTTCAGTACTCCCGCCGACAGACTGCACTATCGCTCCGATAGAATCTATCAAATTGATTATAACGGAGAAGGTGAGAGCTCCTTTTTCATTGCTTTTACAAAATTCATTATGGCGTGAAATGAAAGTGTCCGACTAATAAAAAAACTTTGATGTAGGTAACTGTGAAGTGTCAACGACGTTTTTGTGATGGCTCTTTGTTATAAAATATACAACTAGTTTTATCATTTTACTTCTAATTTTTAGCAACCTCTGGAATGAATACCCTCCATCGCTTAGCTTATGAGATGAAACTGTGCTTACGAAGAATATACTTCAGGGTTGGAAATGACCTGACTGTCTTCTGGTATTTTTGTCATCCGTGTATTAATTAGGTGAGCCGCATAATCCAGTTATTACACCAGTAACAAAAAATGTATAAAATGAATTTGTTGTTTACGACGATAACGCTAAAAACAATGCGTTTATTATTACGGCCTTGTTCTGTTTTGAATGTAATTTATTCATCACCATATTTAAATAAAAAGGTCTTCCCAGTACTGTTCATCGCTAGAACCACAAAAAATCAATGGAATTAACAATGCGAACAATTAAAAATCGACGGAAAAATTCGTAACGGTATTTACTGGTTCAATACGCTTCGCACCAAATGGGCTAATATGTAGTTTGTTAATCCATTAAATTGCGAAAAATTAACTATAAAAATTCGTGAATGAAAAAAAATAATCGTGAATGATTACATCAACAGTACCAGGGATACAGCAAAGCCTCTGCCAACCACTAAGGATACTTTCAAAGCTAATGAGCACTGGTTGATTACGATTTTGCTTTTTTATAATAGAAAATATAGACAGATTTTTTTTTTTTTTTATTTTAGTTCGCTGTCAATATTTTTGAATAATTAATTGAAAATGGTTTCGCTTTTCTAGGTGCAAAGTCATCAGTAGCATAAAGAAACCGAGGCCGTTTCAAAAAATATTAACCTGTTACACGCTACTCCTTTCATCAATGTCACCTGTTAATTTAATATTTTTTTTAATTTTCATACTACCTTAGTAAAATATCTCTTCACAAATATTCGAATTATTAAACAACGCATTGATAAATAAGTCTTAAACGTCATGTTTAATTTCACATTGGGAGTTAAAGTTAAAAAAGTGTTTTGAGGCTATTAAAATCTAAAATATAAATTTCCATAAAGCCAATGATGACGTCATTTGAGGACAAACAAAGTACAAACATAATGGATTAAAAATATTTTATTATTAAATATTAGTAGATACAGATTATTTTTCGTTAAATATTGGTTTTCTACAATCACCATGCCCATTTATAGAAATGGTTTTTCAGTCACAGAAAATAAAAAAATGCCCATTGAAATAGGATTGTCACAAGTTTTCAAGAAATACCTAAATGTAAAAGTAATTGCAAAAGGTTTCTTAAAAAGGGGATTTTCTTTAAACGCGTGTATCTTTAACAGCATGAATCATAATATAATTCATTTACGTAAGCAGCTATCACCATCTCTGGGGATTAACCTCGTCGAGGAAAAACATATTTTACTTAAGATTTCCAAGGTTACCTTGTGTTTATGAATTGTAAATAATAAAAATATGATTAATCGATCAATCAAGGGGTCGTCGTGTACCCTTACGAGGGCACGGGACGGGTCTCGGGGCAAATTCCTCTAACCGGGCATAATCTTCGTGCACTATAGAGCAAGGGTGGGTTTCTGGCGGGTGTTCGCGCGTACGGCGCCAGAGACGTCAACACAATATATACTATTTTTAAGTATATAATGTTGTTGTCAGTCTTAGTATGATGAATCGGAGGCCGGCACGGACTCCCATCTCATGGGATTCCGTGCCGGCCTCCCTCCGTTTTCCTCTTCTTCTTCTTTTTTTTTTAAATGAATCAATTTATTATGCACCAATCAGTAATATATAATACTCTATTTTATTAAAACGCAATATAATTTAACCTTGCCGCATCACCTAAGCCAATAAAAGATTTAAAAGCAGATGAAAATTTATTTTTAAAATATGCATCATAAAGTTTAACAGTAGCTAATATATACGAGTAGACTAGCGGACCCGACAAACGATGTCCTGCGAAAATTTGTTCAAGTCGATCCAGCCGTCTAGTTATAGTATAGATAAGTAACCTAGATACCGTCTGCACTCTGCAGCATAATCTGCGGGGGTGATTTGTGAAACTGAACCATCCAGGGGGCCACCTAAACGCATACAAAAAAAAATCATTCAAATCGGTCCAGCCGTTTAGGAGAAGTTCAGTGACAAACACACGCACAGAAGAAATATGTACTTAGTCTGGCCATAAATTCTGTTACAATTAAAAATAAACAAAATATTACATTTGAATTTGAAATCTGTCATTTTTATATGATTGCTCATTGAGTTTTCTCATTTTGGCGCCAATACATTTTACAATATTTTGCGATATTAAAATGGAGTGGGGTGATAAAGAGAACCGAATCGCTGTGATTGCGTTACACAAAGTAGGTATGGAGCCAAATGAAATTTTTAAAACTCTCCATACGCTTGGTATTAGTAAAATAATTATGTACCGGGCTATTAATAGGTGCAATGAGACCTCCTCTGTTTGTGACAGAAAAAGATCTGGCCGTCCACGTAGTGTTCGTACAAAAAGGTGGTCAAAGCAGTAAGGGAAAGAATTCGAAGAAATCCTGTCCGAAAGCAAAATATTTTATCTCGGGAGATGAAGATAGCACCTAGAACCATGTCGCATATTTTAAAAGATGACTTAGGACTTGCAGCCTATAAGAGACGTACTGGTCATTTCTTAACTGATAATTTAAAAGAGAATAGGGTGGTAAAATCGAAACAACTACTGAAGCGGTACGCAATGGGAGGTCATAGAATTTTGTTTACGGATGAGAAATTTTTTACAATTGAGCAACATTTTAACAAACAAAATGACCGTATTTATGCTCAAAGCTCTAAGGAAGCTTCCCAATTAGTCGACAGAGTGCAATGTGGGCACTGTCCGACTTCAGTGATGGTTTGATGGGGTATTAGCTATGAAGGAGTGACTGAGCCATACTTTTGTGAAAAAGGTATCAAAACATCGGCACAAGTGTATCAAGATACCATTCTTGAGAAGGTAGTGAAGCCCCTTAACAACACCATGTTCAATAATCAAGAATGGTCCTTCCAGCAAGACTCGACGCCAGGTCATAAAGCTCGGTCTACGCAGTCTTGGTTGGAAACGAACGTTTCGGACTTCATCAGAGTTGAAGACTGCCGTCGTCTAGTCCCGATCTTAATCCGCTGGATTATGATTTATGGTCAGTTTTAGAGAGTACGGCTTGCTCTAAACGCCATCATAATTTGGAGTCCCTAAAACAATCCGTACGATTGGCAGTGAATAATTTTCCCATGGAAAGAGTGCGTGCTTCTATTGATAACTGGCCTCAACGTTTAAAGGACTGTATTGCAGCCAATGGAGACCACTTCGAATATGCTTTTTATACTTTAAATGTTTTTTATGTATGTATTAAACTAACACACTGTAAAAGTAATAAATGTTATTTGCAATAGATTTTTATTTATTTTTAATTGTAACAGTATTTATGGCCAGACTAAGTATATAAAGATGTATCCGCAACGCGCAATACTAACGAGTTGTATTCGTGTTAACGCACGTACACGTTGAAGAACAGGAATACTAACCCAAAACATTAATTATCCAAAAAAATTGAAATAGTTAAAAAAACCAATCTCTAAGTATTCTTGATCGAAACTCAGAGTTGAAGTGCAACTACGGTAATGCGAAACGTACTTAATATCTTCTGGTTTTATACCACCAGTGGCAAGGATCACTAATGACGATGAACAAATAATGACATAATAGAATATATGAGATGTTTTTTTTTTTATGATTTTAAGGTTACTGGTGGCCCGGAGGCCTTTCCAGCTTCACCAGGACAGGTGGGCAAGCAAAGGCTCAGCCAGGAGGGGACGTATATGAGATGTCCTTGGTGCCTGTGAGTTCAGTCGTAATCGTCATAGGCATGTTAATTTGAAGGCGTTTCATTTCTCACGTTTCGAATGCCTTACATATTTTTTGTGTTTTAAACGAATTAATTTTGATCATCGTGTGAACAGAACTGAAATCCCATTGAATCGTTTCTACTTTGTCGCATATTGTTGTCTTTCTATACGTACTCTGACTCCATGTCTGCTGTATGTATGAAGTTTCAATATCCTTGCGTTCCGCTTTTAGATTACCAGAGTCAATATTCAATACAATTGAATCTTCCATCTCATGTTTATGTAAGATTACGTCATTGGCATTCACGTGAGCCCTTGAGATCGTTCATTCGTCTACGAAATAGATAAATAAAAGTATCGTGATGCCTATGAACTCCGGTAACATAACCTAAAATCATTTACGTCTTAAGTTTATCTGACCAACACACCGTACCGAAGTTTAAATAACTAAAAAGAACTGCACAAGTAAAGGTGACGTCATCGACATTAACTTCGAGGGTAATCAATCTGTGCTGGCATATAACCAGCTAAAGCAAAACAAAATTGCTCTCTAGGGAAATCTTAATCCCCAAGAAACATATTAAATTATATTATACTGGGTGTTAGGAGACCGCTTCCGAAAACAAAGACAGACGATAGTACTAATGACACCACTGATGATGAGACGGATTTTTTTTCCGGAAGGAACACCTAAGTAAATACAACTGACACAATTTGTAAGCGGATAAATTGTCAGATTAGTAACTTCTCGAAAATTTCTTGTGGCAGACGTGATTTTTAAATGTGAAAGTAATCGTTTCTGTCTCATTCGATTCGCTCTATTTATGCTGCATTGGTCGGTTCGTTCGACTACGTAACCATGGCCGATGGCGCGACGCCAGGGAAAATCTATCTATAATGATTTCCGTTCATTTAAAATTATTAATCATGGTGACAGTAAATGAAACATAAACACTGTCTTGATATTCCCTCCATCACATTAGGCAGTTAATATGAGATTTAAACAAATATCTTAGTTTCTCTAAAATCGTGGGTAGGTAGATAAAGTTATGATGCTATAAAGTAAGCTGATTTGTCTATTTATGCTATTAAAAAGCTTCTTGATTATTGTTACCGTCCCTTGTATTTATTTTTCAAAACAAGTATATTTCAAAGCACTAATTTGGCGAACGAAGAATTAAAATCTCCTCCAGAGACATATGGCATACAAGTCTCATTTTGATACCACATTCTAGCTAAAAACCTATATTAATATAGTTTTAGCGACTTTAATGTTTTAAACACCTTTATTTGTGCAGCTATTAATTAATTAACAATCATCTCTAAAGCGTCGGATGATCATATGGTCTATACAAACCACTCACATTAAGTGCTACCACACCTTAATTCACGTCAAGAGACTAACGTAAACACATCGTAAAGCTATTTTCTCAATACAAACAAGAGTAGACTAGCGGACAAACGGTGTTGCAAATAAAATTATCCTGTTATTGCTGCGAGTGTTGTCGCAAAGGCTGTTACTGGAATTGCATCAGCTCGCTAAAGTGGCGGGCAGTTGCACGGCTGTAAGCACTTTGAAAAATCTCATCGTTTCATCAGAGCTTGTTTTTTTAGTATTAATAGTACCGTATTACCCTCTGATTTTTATACCACAAAAAGTAATACTTACGGATTTTTTTCAAAACACAAAGTTGTATATGTATATAATATTCTAAATATAAATTTCTTGGTAAAAACTTTTCTTTTAAAACAGAAATAACTAACTAATAGTATCCCAAGGTTTATCTAAGCGATATATTTGCTTATTTTCATCTTTACAATAAGAGGTCCCTAACCGTGATATTAGCGGTAGTGAATACAATATTCAAATGTCAAAGAATGACACCTCAGTCGTCCGATGACCACGAAAACGGAAAGTATTTGAAAAATCAGAAAATTATAGCGATAATAGGCGCGAAATTAAGCCATAAATTTACTTTAATTATTACTGATACTAAATAAAGTATCTTATTAAACATACCGTTGTTTCAGCGTGAGCAATAGTGTTCCAGCCCATTTTGCCCCGGCTTTGCCGTTGCCTTAAGCGTGAACCTATCCCAACAAGGTGGATGATGAGAGCCGAATACCGGGCTCAGTGGTGTATTTTGGGAGAGTCCTATGTTCAGCTTAAACGACTATGGGCTGATGATGATGATAATGATGATGATCCCAACAAGGGACATATATGACCGTCTACCTTCGAAGGCAATTACAATAAATAACATATTAGCATCGTAAAACAAGCTTTCAATACATTTTAAATTTTAATCAATAAAATACACAGCATACTAGGGGTTTTGCTAAATTAATTCCAATAATATTCTGGTGACATTGTCATCTAGAAATGAATTATACGCGTATAGTCGAGATTATTGTTAGTAGGGATTATTATGCTTGTAATATGAAACGCCTAGCAATTCAGCGCATGTCTATTTTGAGATAGAGTTTTCAGAATAGATTGCAGTTATATATAAATTCGTCTCAATTTCATTCAGTGTAATATGACCAATCCGTCCAATCAAATTTAAATCTTTTACCTTTTCTTGTATTTATTTAACTACCTTATCACCTAAGTAATTAAAAAGTAACCTAAAGGCAAATGTTTTATATTTGTTGTAATAAATGTAAATTTAAACAACAATCTAAACAAATTTAATAAGTCCATATTTAAATTATTAAAATAATAACGTTTTATATATATTTTTCCTTCATTTTAAAGGGAAAAGGAAACTAAAGGTTTAAATGATGATATGATAATTTACCACTAAGTGTTGGTGTTACAGCCATTATGTTTGAGTCTGAATTCATTATTTATTATTATATAGGTTCGTTCGTAACCGTGCGTCGTTTATCGCTTATGCCTGTCACATCATAATAGGCCGATTTTCAAAGTTAAACTATTGAAATTATCAAATCTACGTCATATAAAAGTACAATTCTCCTAATTATGCTAACATCATGAAATATCTTTGAAATGGTTTTTTATATATTTTAATTGAGACTGAGCGTTAACTTAGCGCTATTTATGACTTAAACACAACGGAGGCTGTGTCATTGCAAAAACTTCAAAAGATCGATTCTAAACATTTTTACTAAAGAGTTCATATTAATAATTTGCTTAATTACATATATTTTTATAACTCAGTGATAGAACTCGAATTTTGATTTATTATACATAGTTATCGTATTAAAATACATAGATAGATGTGTATTAGTGCTTTAGCAGTTAGCGGCATGCATCTCCTCGCATATGTAAAGCTTCGGTAAACTACTAATGCCAAATCCAATTAAAGTAATAAGATTAAAAGCAGTGAATACACGACCGACCATACTCATATCCCAGGTGGCTGTGATCAGTGCAGGAACTCATTGACAAATTATCAACATTTGTTCTTTTAAAAATGCCAAAGGAAGACCCCGAAACCACTGCTTTGAAAAAAGAACTAACCGATCTGATATCCAAAGTTAAGGTAAAAAAACAATTTTGGCATTCGCTCACTAACTAAATCTAAAGGAGAATTTTTTTCTTGGCAGAATGAATGTTATATTTGTGCACGATTCCATAAACGTATTTAAGTACCGCTATATACTTTAATAAACTGTAACTGTAGTGTGTTAAAACACTATATTCCTCAATTAATCATTACATTACGACGTCTATTAACCTATACCAAATTTTGGTGCTACAATCAATGTGAACCAAAGCACTAGCAAAGCAAACGCATTTTTGTGTTCATGTATTCTTAATCACCAGGCGGATCAAGAGAAGCTTGCGGACGCAAAACTCGCGGAAAAATGCTCCGATCTGGGAGACGTACCCAAGATTAGATTCGTCACCAAGAAGACTCTGAAAGGACATCTTAACAAAGTAAACTCAGTGCATTACAGCGGAGATTCCAGGTAATATCTTTTATTATTAATAGATAGTAATAATAATAATCTTTTATTATCTTTAGATAAATATATTTCTCTTATGTGTGAGAAACAAAGATAAAACTGCTGAACAAACAAATTTGCAATTAAAATTGGTAATTAGGGCTGCACTGAATCTATAAGAATCATGAAACCTTTGAATAATATAATAGCTTTATATTTATTTACCATAAACATACAATTGGTAAATCGATGAGCTGAGACTAAGCTTTACTGAATAACTTGACACTGATAAAATGAAAAGTACTGGATTATGCCTTGCTATGGCTTAATATATCATTTATATTATCATTATATAATATTAATATCATTATATTTTTGATTACAAAAAAGTGTTTTCAAAAAGTGGGCTGAGAGAAATTTATTTTGTCGTGCAATTATCGAACTATGATATAATATACTTTATGGAGGCAAGATACATTTCGTTGGACTATTCACATAAGTCACCTTAGTATCCCCTCCCGATGAAAACGGGCGGCAGTGGTAGTGTTGTGTAAATGCGACGCGAACATAAAAACATCGAAATTTAATATAAAATTATCTGCTTATACTGTTTTTGCACAGTAAGACAGTGTTTTAATCAGTTTACGTGTGGGGGCATTAAGTCAACGCCCTCCTATGACCCTAGTAATAGAGTTGGGTGGGAGATTGATTAAATCGATAGGTTATAATTTATAGTCAGTTACGAGTAATTGATACTACTTTTCAACTACGTTGATATAATGTATTAAAATAACATCAAAATTATAATTTGCGTAATTACTGGTGGTAGGACCACTTGTGAGTCCGCGCGGATAGGTACCACCGCCTTGCCTATTTCTGCCGTGAAGCAGTAATGCGTTTCGGTTTGAAGGGTGGAGCAGCCGTAGTAACTATACTGAGACTCTCCCCGTCACGTCACAGCCGGAGTCCCGCAAGGCTCCGCCCTCTCGCCGTTACTATTCAGTTTGTATATCAATGATATACCCCGGTCTCCGGAGACCCATCTGGCGCTCTTCGCCGATGATACCGCCATCTACTACTCGTGTAGGAAGAAGGCGTTGCTTCATCGACGACTTCAGACCGCAGCTACCACCATGGGACAGTGGTTCCGGAAGTGGCGCATCGACATCAACCCCACGAAAAGCACAGCGGTGCTCTTCAAAAGGGGTCGCCCTCCGAACATCACGCTGAGCATCCCTCTCCCGACTAGGCGCGTCGACACCTCCGCCTCCGCCATTCGCCCAATCACGATGTTCGACCAGCCCATACCGTGGGCCCCGAAGGTCAAATATTTAGGCGTCACCCTCGACAGTAGGATGATATTCCGCCCTCACATCAAGACGGTACGCGACCGTGCCGCCTTCATTCTAGGACGTCTCTACCCCTGATACGCAGACGAAGTAAAATGTCCCTTAGAAATAAGGTGACACTCTACAAAACTTGCATACGCCCCGTCATGACATATGCAAGGTTAGTGTTCGCTCACGCGGCCCGCACTCACTTAAAATCCTTCCAGATTATTCAATCCCGTTTTTGCAGGATAGCCGACGGAGCCCCGTGGTTCGTCAGGAACGTCGACCTCCATGATGACCTGGACTTAGAGTCCGTCAGTAAGTATTTGCAGTCAGCGTCGATGCGCCACTTCGATAAAGCGGCACGACACGAGAACCCTCTCATCGTGGCCGCCGGTAACTACATTCCCGATCCTGCGGACAGAATGGAAAGCAGTCGACGGCGCCCAAAACACGTCATCTCGGATCCTCCCGATCCACTAACGGTGCTTTTAGGTACTTCAAGCACCGGTCACCGTTCTCGTCGAATCCGTCGCTTGCGACGAAGGGCTCGACGAGTAAATTAACTCTCAGACACAGCCCACTGAGTTTCTCGCCGGATCTTCTCAGTGGGTCGCGTTTCCGATCCGGTGGTAGATTCTGTGAAGCACGGCTCTTGCTTGTTCGTGTTAGCATCGTCATCAGGTTTGAGCCCCGTGAGCTCACCTACTAGCCACGGTTACGCTGAAATAGCCTCTCAAGGCTATCAGCTAAGGTAGAAAAAAAAAAGAGACTTTAGAACTTGTATTTCAAGGTGGGTGGCGCGTCTACGTTGTAGATGTCTATGGGCTCCAGTAACCACTTAACACCAGGTGGGCTGTGAGTGAGCTCGTCCACTCATGTAAGCAATAAAAAAAATATTTAATCTTAAATTAGATTGTACTAGTTTAGTCATGTATAAAAACCAATGAAATAATACTAGACACAGGCTTACATCGCACTAATATTCTTCGTTGAAACCGTAAAATCCTCAAACTAATAGGGGCATTTTTTTGCAGACACTGCGTCACGGGCTCTCTGGACGGAAAATTAATTATCTGGGATACTTGGAGCGGTAACAAAGTTCAAATCATACCTCTACGTTCTGCTTGGGTTATGAGCGTCGCATTCGCGCCGTCTGGTAACTTCGTCGGTGAGACAGTCAACAAACTATTTAAAACTATGAAATCTTGTTAAAGACTGATATTTAATTCAAAACGGAGCTGTCAAGCTGGAGAATTTTCTTTGTTACATTTATTGCTCAGCAGTTCTTATAGCAGTAGTATGATAACAAATTTTATTTGTGTTAAATGTTTGTTATTAAATATATCCCGGAATTTCGATGTTCTATTTGAGAAATATGGCTGAAATAACATTAATGTCTGTCTTTTTAAACTGGACCAAATGAACGTTTTAGCAGTAATATTAATAGATGATGGTACCTACCAACGCAGATACTCAACATGGCCCACCATTATTAAACGACAAATATATAATAAGTTCAGTGTCTACTGGTGGTAGGACCTCTTGAGAGTCCGCGCGGGTTGGTACCACCACCCTCCCTATTTCTGCCGTGAAGCAGTAATGCGTTTCGGTTTGAGGGGTGGGGCAGCCGTTGTAACTATACTTGAGACCTCAGAACTTATATCTCAAGGATGTCTCAAGGTGGGTGGCGCATTTACGTTGTAGATGTCTATGAACTCCAGTAATTACTTAACACCGGGTGGGCTGTGAGCTCGTCCACACAGCTAAGCAATAAAAAAAAACCTAAGCCCTTATTCATATACCGCAATACCCTACCTACCCCATTCAAACTACCAACAAAAGTTCGGAATCCCAATTGTACAGTATCAAAAACTAGATTACTTACTGCTTCGCAACACAAATAGTCAGGATGATGGTACCTCCTGGTGAATCCGCACCATACCTAGTAAGAGCGCAAATTTATATTTTTGCTGATTATATTTTATTCCACGATATTGCTCTTTCATCGTAAAAGTTACTTTTAAGCACGTTTTAGCCACGTCGAAAACTTCCATAAAAAAATAGGTACCTTCCAGGTTTATTTGAGCCCCGCGATATATGGATGGCTTGATACGAATATACAATGCATATGCTTCAGTGTCCGGATCCTTAAACTTTTTCTAGTTTCATTATTTTTATCATGGAAATTTATAAACACTTTCCTATATGCAATTTTCTCATAGTATAATTTTATAGATACGTACATACTTATGCTGAATCAATCAATATAATCTAAGCTACGGCATACTCGCATCACACAATCGAGGTACTCTGAACATTTTGCGTAATCAAATATATAATCTGCTTACAATAAAATTTGTGTAATGTACATATATGAGTATACATATAATTTTCACACACGTTTAATGTTAAGCTTGCGGCGGCATGGACAACATGTGCACGGTGTATGACGTGAACAATCGTGACGCCACCGGAGCCGCTAAGATGGTCCGTGAACTGGCCGGCTACGAGGGCTTCCTTAGCAGTTGCCGTTTCCTCGATGACACACACATACTGACTGGATCCGGTGATATGAAAATGTACATATTTTATGGTATACTCTACACGATAAATTTAGGCCGCTGTAAGTTTGTCTAACTCTAGTAGATAATGTATAACAGCGAACCCAGAATTCTCGTGCTCTTTCTTACTTTCAGCCAATATTAGCGATATGTAGTAACATTATTTTAGGTTTTTCTCTGACCCAGAACCTTCCTCTTATACATTTACATATATCTAGAGTGTGAGTGCTAGTAAAATTGTGAGAATTTTTTTAAAAGGCCAATTATTATAAAACTAGTGACCCACCCTCGCTTCGCTTCGGAAATTGTAATTTATTATTGATTTCTCCACTATTTAATGGATGTTATTATACATATAAATCTTCCTCTTCAATAACTCTATCTATTAAAAAAAACGCATCAAAATCCGTTGCGTAGTTTTAAATATTTAAACATACATAGGGAGTAGGGACAGACAGATATAGGGACAGAGAAAGCGACTTTGTTTTATACTATGTAGTGATATACTTTGAAGTAAGCACACCAAAAGTATTACATTACGAACATAATAATATCTTACGACATATTACACGATATTACTATGAATAATTTAATAGTAAGAAATAATATGTTATAGCGAATTAAAATTATCAGTCGAAAGTATACTTAATGATGTGTGAACAATCAACAATCAACAATGAACTTATATACACTATTATAAAAGATAATTATCTGAGGTAAACACAATTAAACACAGATGTGCGCGTTATAATGTGTATTTTGTAGTTGATGAGTATAATTCTAGAAAAGCTTATCTACAAACGCAATGATAGCTTGCGTCAAACGTTTTTTATGTACTTTATAGTATAGCGTTTCCTTTTTGTTTTCACCTAATCGCTGGTAGCTTTAACGGGCTATTCCTACTTCTCCGTGCTGGTAAGCGAATTCATAGGGCTCAGCCTGAAAATTCGTTAACCCTAACCCTAGCAAGAGCAGTGCTTCGCTGAATACTACTACCGAATCGGAATCCCAATCCACTGGGAAGATCCGGCGAGAAACTCTGAGGATTATAATATAGTAGCCAAAAGAAGCCGCCTAGTTTTACTTTGTTTCAAAACTTAATATTGCCATAATACTAACAATGTTTTTTCTTTTTTATGCACATGTACAAATCAATGTACAAATGTTATTGTTACCAATTAAATGTTTCTCACCAGTTTTAAATGCTACAAGAATTAAGGGCTCCTAAGTGTTGAAGGAAAAACCTGTGTCGAATAACTTATTCATGATAATTTCATTATATCATTTAAACATTGTAGTTGCGTTTGGGACTTGGAAGCTGGTAAGCGTGAAATGGAATTTGATGCTCACGCCGGCGACGTAGTCAGCATTTCACTGTCACCAGGTCTGTATCTGATAACTGTAAATTTAAAAATCTAATATCTGTAAATTTTAAAATGACCTTTACATACATATGTATTTTACAACCTTATAATTTCAATTTTATTGTAGATTACCATACAGACAAAGTAAGAATTTAGTTTACCAGGCTTCGTACAGCTTCCTTAGTTTCTACTTACAGGCTGCCAACTGGTAAACACAGCTACTTAAACCTCGCCTATAGAAATTGGTTTAGAATTATCTTGAAATCGTTCGCCGTAAGGCATGAGGGAGAAGAATCTAATAAAATACAGTAATACTTATAATACTCTTGAAAACAGAACGTATAGTTGCTTTTGCGTTTCGTTCATAGTCATAGTTTCAATAAAATATATAAGGGCTGACCCACACTACGAACCGGAACTGGCTCGCGGCAAAAATAGGTAAAGCGGTACCTAGTTCCAGTAAATAGCGGTTGGCGATCGCAGCACGCTGGGATAATATAATAAAACACTCATGCTGCTCATTCTTTGGTGCATCTCTTAGTCGTATTTTACGACATTCATGGGAAGAGGTAGAGTGGTGCTATTCTAGGTTCCACCTAAGCTTTGCCGCAGATAGAGAGGTCGTTACGGAATTGATTATACCGTATACGATGCTAACAACTATAATATTCTCGAAGCTACGGTTTATACACGACTTACCCTAATTGGTATGCTGTATGGCAACAATGCGTCCCTGTTTGGGAGTCTTCATCAGTGACATTTCCAATGTTTGCAATATTCAGACATGAAGTCATACGTTACCGGTTCCGTGGACAAAACATGTAAGCTGTGGGACGTCCGGGATGAGAAAGCAAAGCAAACATTCTTCGGTCACGAAGCCGACGTGAATAGCGTTTGTGTAAGTTCTATAAGTTTATTTAAAATGTCGTGTTTAGTTATTAAAAATAAAGGTTTTTTTTTATTGCTTTAGTGGGTGGACGAGCTCACAGCCCACCTGGTGTTAAGTTACTGGAGCCCATAGACATCTACGACGTAAATATAAGTTCTAAAGTCTCAAGTATAGTTAGAACGGCTGCCCCACCCTTCAAACCGAAACGCATTACTGCTTCGCGGCAGAAATAGGCAGGGTGGTGGTACCTACCCGCGCGGACTCACAAGAGGTCCTACCAACTCTCGTGCGAGAGGCCCAATATTGTTCGGGTTCCTTACAACCGCTACGCACTTCTTTTTTTATTGCCCTTGTAAGCAGACCAGCGTACGGCCTACCTGATGGTGAGTGGTTACCGTCGTTAATGGACGTTGACAATGCTAGGGATACAGCCAAGTTTCTGCCTACCGTAATTTTGGTTCATCTTTATAAATATTTTTTAATAAATCTATATAAACTGTTTATTTATTATGTGTATGTAAGTATTTAGGTATATGAATTGTATAATGATTTTATATTTTATATACATTGTAAATATATATTCGTTGTATATATCTGTGTATCTTCTTAATTTTCCAATAACGTGCGTAAAGGTTTAGTCTATTTTGCTAGACACCTAAATTTTTTTAATAATGATACACCGCCTGTGTACCTACTGTATCTTTTTCAGAATTTTGGTAGATAACAACCGATGAGATCTCTTTTAGCGATAAAATCGCCTATTGTATAATTATACCTGTTTGTTGACTGTTTATCAATGTTATTTGTGTTTTGATGTGCTATAAAATATATTATTTCTCTCTCGCTCTCTCTCTCTAGTATCACAATGGCGGTTACGCATTCGCAACGGCTTCTGAAGATAAAACGGCTCGCCTGTTTGACATTCGCAGCGACCAGCAGCTGGGTCACTACACACCACCTGGAGCTAGCGGATTCACAAGCTGCGGTCAGTAAAATGACTATTTTCAGTCTACCATTTATAACGTAATATAAAGCTTACACTAACTTGCATTTAATCAAATCCAAACTGTGAAACGTCATTTGAAACGATCGAAACAGTTATCGACGACGTGAAACAAATATTCTTCGACTAGTAGACAACTTCATTTGTACCTAGGTCTAGTTAAAATTTGACGAATACGAAATTTAATTATTTCGTACAAGCGGCTATAAAAGCCTTGTTCGGACTAGGCGAGTATTTTAGTCGAGTACCGAGTAGTTTAGTGGCTAAACTACTCGCTGATGCACAGGCAACGTTCGCATTACGTTCCAGTAGAGTATACAAGTGAGTAGTGTTTTTTTCAAGATAAACAGGCTGCAACGCAATAGAGTAAATAAACTGATTAAGCTAATCGTAATGGCTATTTTAGAAAAGGTGTATGAGGAAATTTCTGTGATTAAGAAAAATAAGTTATGGGTACGAAAATTGATCGATAGAAGAGATAAACTAGGAGCTACTAAATGTCTTCTGAAGGAATTAGCATTGGAAGATATCCCAAAGAATACTTTGATAGTTTGAGAATGTCCAAAAGTTGTGTGAATTTTCTGTTAACGAAAATACACTCTCAAATTCAGCGCAAAGATACCCATTTGAAAAGTGCCACTAATGAACTCGACTAATCAACAGGTTCGGACTTGTTTAATCACTCAGCCAGTGAGCAAGGACGCGTGGTGGGAAACGCTACTCGCCCGAAAAAATAGAACAGAATGGATTGACTTGACTAAATTATTTACTAACCTACTCAACTAAATTTTTGGTGTTCGGACACATTTTGCTGCTAAATTACTCGATACTCGACTAAAATACTCGCCTAGTCCGAACAAGACTTAAGAGTGATTTGATTAAAACCTGAAACAGCATTAAACAGATATAAGAAAATTCCAAGCATTCTCACCTAAGAACTGTGCAGTAATCCTCGCACGCAATTTATGTAAATGAGCGCTGTTGCCAAGGGTGGAGTTGTTCGTCAAGTCCGCCTGTTTGTGTAAGTACAAGGTTGATGAGTCTCAGTTTTTGCATGACGTTGCTGTTTTTGTTACAACAATTAAAATATATTTTTTAAGTTAATCAAACAAAACCCGGCATGTGACCGCTCACTCAACTCCAGTCACCGTTCTCGTCAAACTCGTCGAAAACGACGAAGATTTTGGCAAGCAACTTAATTCCTAAACAAAACCGCGCAGTATCTTGCCGGATCTTTTTAGCGGTCGTGATTCCGATTCGGTAGTAAATTAAGCAAAGCACTGTTCTTGCTAGATAGGTTTTAGCATAATCTTCAAGTTGAGCTCCGTGAGCTCATCCACCAGTCATGGTGAGGCCAGAATAGCCGCTTGAAGTTTTTTTTATTGTTTAGATGGGTGGACGACTCACAGCCCACCTGGTGTTAAGTAGTTACTGGAGCCCGTAGATATCTACAAGGTAAATGCGCCACCCATCTTGATATATAAGTTCTAAGGTCTCAAATATAGTTACAACGGCTGCCTACCCTTCAAACCGAAACGCATTACTGTTTCACGGCATAAATAGGTAAGGTGGTGGTACCTACCCGCGCGAACTCACAAGAGGTCCTACCACCAGTAATAGTACCACCAGTTATATTGCAAATTTATTTTTTAGCTTTGTCTCTCAGTGGAAGATACTTGATGGCAGGTTCGGATGATAATTCAGTCCATTCTTGGGATACGCTCAAAGTTTCTCATACAGGTGAAGTATTATCCAAATGCTTAGTCATAAACATACATCGAGATGAAAATGGATTATTATTATTACAAACATGATAATAATAATTTTCAATCTTAGTGCTAAAAAATCTTGTAGCATTCCAATTTAGTAACTTTCATGAATAGTAACTAGGTTAATAGAAATATGACATTTCTTTTCATGGTAATAAAATATTCATACCGACAAGATCTCAAGTTTGAGCACTCGTGAACATATTTCATAAAACACACAACATGATATATGGTTTCCTAAAAAAAAAAAAAATGTGTGCAATTCACACGTGGTAGAAGTGAAACCTTCCAAAATTAAAATACAATTATCCTAAACGTCTTAAGTATATGTAAAATTTTGTCATTAGTAAATAATTGTAAGGTAGCGCCCTCTGTGAATTGATATTTTAATTTCACGTATAATCCTAAATTAAAATTCACTACAAGAGCTTTCATACACACGTTAGTATTAAAAAATCTCACAGATGGCGCTGTATTAAATAGTATGTATATTTCTGTCTCATGCTTTGCTGGCTTCATCCTACACATTTTTGTATTTGTGTCTCTTACCTGTCGTTTTTTCCGTTGCATCCGGTTTGAAATCACAACGATTCTAAAGAAGTTTTCACTTCAAAAAATTCTAAACGTAGGCTTCTTCCGTTGACCGTTATAGCACCTGCATTCTCGTTTTTATTTTTTATTTATGCTATATATTATACAATGAACAAAATACGTACAAAGGCGAGCTTAACTGAGATATCTGTCTAACAGTAAAACCCAAATACATATATCGAAATAATCCATAGAATAGTCTACAGTGTAAAACAACAGAAAATAATCTTACACGATCAAAAGATCAATTTTCATCGGATTCAAGACATTAAGAAACATGGTATCTCTATCAATTTAAATATAATATTTTTATATTTTATTTAAAAATGTATGTAATAACTTAAGGGCGCTTAATGTCCGATTCTATTTATGGTTAAAATGTACCGGATTTGCGATGTACTAACAAATGCACGACTAATGTTACAAATTAATAGTGAATTACGCGTAAATAAAGTATTTCCTTTATTATTAAATTAAAATGCATTTGATAGCAGGAATGCCACCTATTTTGTAGTCTGCACTTACAAATTTAAACTAATTTAATAGTATTGGTTAGAAATGGCCAGGACCGTTGCAGTGTGTGGCCAAGACAAATGCGAATACGTATAAAGAAGTAGTTGTGCTTGTTTTATGTTCCAAATCGAACAATAAACAATAGATAACGTATGATATGCCCTTTTTTCATTTTTAGGTACTCTGAACGGCCATGAAAATCGAGTGACGTCTATTTCCGTTGCACCCAATGGCGTTGCTATGGCCAGCTGTTCCTGGGACTCGAGCGTCAGAGTTTGGGGCTAAAATATGATCCACACATTGACTACATAAAAAAACCACAATTGATCCTGTTTAGAATATTTTCCTTAGCCATGAATATTCTTCTTCTTCTTCTTTGTCGTTTCCTCATTACTGAGGGTCGTGACCACCTTGGTCCAGTTTTTGCACCAGCTTCCTCCAATGTTGCCTGCATTCGGCCTGCTTAATGGCGCCCGGGACACTGGTGATTGTGGCCTCCTTGACAATGTCCGTCCACCTGGTTGGCAATCTTCCTCGACTTTTCTTTCCTTCCACGTGACCTACAACTATTAATTTTTCCAAGTTCTCAGGATTTTGCCGGGCCACGTGTCCGAAGTACTTGAGGAGACGCTGCATACAGATCGTAGATAGACGGGTCTTGACGTTTAGCTCCGAGAGAATTGACACATTTGTTCGGCGCTCCGTCCATGATACACCCAACATTTTGCGCCAACACCACATTTAAAATGCGTCAATTCTCGATCGGGTACGGGCCTTGAGGGTCCAGGTCTCAGAAGCGTACAAGAATATGGAGAAGATAAGGGTTCTCATAAGCTTTATCTTAGTTTTTTTGTTTATGCTGTGATTTCTCCAAATCTTCTCCAATCGCTTAACGGCTGATTTCGACATCTGGGCCCTTCTGACCACCTCCCTGTTACAATCACTGTCACTGAATATTATACCTTCAATAAACGTTTAAACACATGCCTCTTCTTTTACTTTAAAAAACGCTTAATGATTAGCAGCTATTCTTTTAAAATGCAGGGATAAATCACAAGAGTAACCAATGAAACATGGTCCAGAATCGTAACTATCGTAGCTCCTATTGAAAATAAACTAGGCAGACCTTATTTATGGATTAGTGGCATCATGACCGTATTGGTGAAATAGTAATAAAAAAATACCAACCCGTTATTTTGCTTCGTCAGTTTTTCTTAGGTCTGTAGATATTATTGAAAACCGGTACTATGTATTACATAAATTGGAATTTAACAAGTATCGATTACTAATAATGAAGTTCAAGAAATTCTTTAAATTTGGACTCAGTTGGAAATCTTTATATCACTTGCAACATGGCAATGTTGTTTGAGATTTCCTTTGAGAAGAAATATTTACAAACAAGTAATAAGTAAATTCAAAACATGTTTACTGATTTTGCGTGTTTGCACATTCTTCTTCACCTGGCTCTTAGTACTCATAACCAATTGAATAATGACTCGTATATTGAAATGTTTTACCTCTACGATAAATACTTACGCAAATTTAAATTTATAAAAAAAATACTATTGATCGTATTTTTAATGGGATCCATCTTTGTTACAAATACTCTTTGGAGAAATTACTACACACTTTCTGATTCTGTTCTGAAGATTGATTCAGATCGAAATTCTGTTATTAAAGGAAAGAACATTACTAAATTGAAATACATTTTACTTTGGACGAATCCAAGTAATTTTCCATTTGTTTATTTTGGAGAAGGTACTAAAGTGTTTGAAGAAAAAAATTGCAAATGGACAAACTGTTTTGTGACTGGCGTCCGAAATCATCTGGACGATTACCGAAAATTCGATGTGATCGTTTTCAATGGACCACAATTGAAAGATTGCTTCGATGCAGGTGACTTACCTAAAAGTCGATCTAAGCATCAGAAATATGTCTACGCAAATATTGAGTCTGCCGCCAACTATCACCTATGCGCTAAAACATGGAATGGATTTTTCAATTGGACATGGACTTATAAGCTAGATTCCGATGCTGTATGGGGTTATTTTACAATAAAAAATTCTACAGGTCACGTTGTGGGTCCTAAATTAAATATGGAATGGAATGTAAATACGAATACTGTCGATGAAAATTTTATTATGAAATTAAAATCAAAGAAAAACACAGCAGCTTGGTTCGTCTCAAATTGCTTAACATTAAGCCATAGAGAAGATTTTGTAGAAGAAATTGGTAAACATTTAAAAAAATATGGTTTAAGTATTGATGTTTATGGTTTGTGCGGCTTAATGCAATGTCCAAAAAATATTATGCAAAGATGTCTGGATATTTTAGAAAATGATTACTATTTTTATTTTGCATTTGAAAATGCTATTAGTGAAGATTACGTCACAGAAAAAGTTCTGCATGCCCTAGGCCATAACACGGTGCCCGTGGTTTTTGGCGGTGCGAATTATTCTAGGTAAAGTAGTATTAATAAAGATTTTTACTATCTAAAGTTCGCATCGTTATAATACCTATTTAAGTAATGTTTTTGTAAATCTATAAAGTTATGTACCTATTCTTTCATATTATTTTTTTCATAAGGGTTATATTTAATTATTTAAAATTAATTTAAGTTTATAAACACGAGCTTAGTCAAAAACTCAGTAATTATTATCGTTTTATGCTAACCGTTCTCGGCTTTTCTGCAAATCCAAGAAATTTTGGATAAATAAATCGAAACGAGGACGGTTGGGATCTTAAAAATAATGTAAATATAATTCTGATTGTCATATTTCACAGATTTTTACCACCCGATTCATATCTGGACGCCATTAACTTAGGAGCTGAAAAATTGGCAAAAAAAATGAATGATTTGATTTTGCATCCCGATATGTACTATAAATATTTTCATTGGAAAAAACACTATTCGTATCATTTGAGACATGAGGATCCAAGTACTGATGACTACTGTCAATTTTGTTCCATGATAAATGATGACATTTTAATGAATAAACATACAATCTATGAGAACTTTGATGAATGGTGGAAATATGTAGATGATTGTCCTTTCTCTTCAATGTATACTATCTAAGGGAATCTCTAAAAATGAAACAACTTAATTATTATAAGATGTTTTAATTATATTGTATAACAAACAAGTTATTAAAATTTTTCTCTTATTCAAATTACAATTCGTCTCTCAGTCTTTGACTGTCCAAGTTATGCCACAAAGGCAATGAACCCCAAAATCTCGATCGAGTCGCCAATCCTTCTTTCATCCTTGATTTTAAGCCAATATCTAAATATTCCATCTTTTCTCGGCTCGTTACCGGCTTCCAAATAGTCGGTATGTTATTGGGTTTATTCGGATTGCTGAAGGTAGAAAATAATAAAACTGTATGATAATTATACAACAAATATTTACATAATTGCGTCAAAGTTTAACTTTACCATCTTTTTGTAATTGCTTAAATTTTACATAAATGAATACTTAGTTAATTTATTGCAGTGTTTCGTGCATTTGCAATGAAACGACTTGTTGTAAATCCAGTAACTTTAAGTGAATGATTTGAAAATGTTTTATCGTTAATTATTATTGTTTATGTCCTTTCACTTACCCTGACGTAGCAAAATTAGTCCACAACGTAATTAGATACTTGCTGAACTCGATATCTTTTTCTGAGAAAGGTTGACTGAGAAAATGTATGGGAAAGAGGTGCATTAAGTCATCGGCATGGCACACACCTACGAAAACAGGTTACAGTTTTTAAAAAAAATGTTTCAAACAAGAAACAAGGCTAGCGTAATTTTTTACTTATGATACAGATCGCAATAATTACCTTGTTTACCTGTAGCAATTCCATTAATTAAATACGTGTGTTTTCATAATTTAATGTGTTATTCTTATACTAAAGATTCAGGCAATTATTTTTTATTACCTAACTAATAAATGAGCACTTAGAAATTTTAAAACAGATTCATTACTACGTACCATAATCTCCTTCGGGGTCTCCGAATATTTGAGAGAAGCTATTAGCCGCTCTGTAAGTTAATTCGTATAAGTAAATCGGTTCAGGACTATGATTCAACGTCAGTTCCACCGCTTCAATTGCTGGGTAGTTAAAATATGAGTCTGAATAGATCTAAAAAAAATATATATCTCATTTCATTTGTTATTAAATCTAAACGAGTTCGGAGTAGATATACTTACTTCAAGAATCCCGTTCTCAATAACTTTCCGATTGTTTCCATTGATATATTTCTGCCTCAGTTTTTTAGTTATGACTTCAGGGAACGGAGAATTATCGTAATAAAATGTCACAGGTGCTATAGTATCGAAACCTGATATGAATTCTTCATATCTGGTATCATTTGCTGTTATCCCTATAATAAAATAGTTAATTACAAGAAATGAAATGAAAAAAGATGAAAGGGATCTTTAACGCTAAGATTTGAGTGGTTAAGGTTGAAGATGAAGAATGGTCAATTATTAACTTTTTATACATATAGTCGTGTTTCAGTGTTATTATGATTAAATTAATTATTAACAACAAATATTTCATGACTAGAAAAAGGATAATTCAATCATTCAATTCTCTTATCTGTTTATCGATTAAAGCTACACTAATAGTATACAAATTTATTTGTCGATATTAATCTATTTGTATAACAATGCGTTTCTACGAATTGTTTTAAACTTTCTGGGCTATCTACTTTATAAACACTGTTATTGAAAGGTTTTTAAGTTCAATATAGTCTACCCGCATGCAGTCACAGCGCTTACAATAACTCCAAAATATCTAGAACTCATTGAATTAGAAAATGGTGGTGAAGAACCCGTTCAATAATGTCAATAAAAATAATTCTAAACTGTTAAATTTCTAAACACCGTATAAACTATTCACTTTATTATACTCGACACTCCGAGCGTAACGATTTATTAAAAGTAAAAACAATAGATTTATGAATAGAAATTTTAGTAGCATTTTTTATAGAAAAGAGAGGTTATTGGAAAAATGAAAAAACTGCTACTCAATAAATATACGAGTATACTCACAGACTGATTTTAGACAGCCTTCGTTCTTAGTCAAGCCTGTCATCCACGGTACAGATGGTGCCTTGGGCGTGTCCCTCGCATTTCTTGTTAAAAAGGCCCCTGGGAGATCTGGTTCCACTACCGCTTTAAACGGTGTCATAGGTTCATAATCCCATGCCTGTAATATTTGATATTTATATTGTGATGATATTTTTTTTAAAAGAGAGTATATATATTTAAAATAAATTAAAGTTTTANTGTGTGTGTGCGTGCGTGTGTGTATGTAATATTATATTATTTGTAAACGCACGTAAAAATCAAACTCGGTTCCGATGATCTCATAGCTGTCCTTAGTGCGAAGACAGGCGATAAATTTTTCGGATGGCGCAGGAGGGCATCCTAAGAACTTTGCCAATTTAAAGGCGTTCCTGAGAGCTTCACCCGGAGGCGCTTCGGCCCAAGGGACCAATGCTGTTCCAGACTCCGATATGGCTTTATGGAATAAACCTAAAATTGGACGTAACGATTAATTTGCGTAACGATTTACGCAATTACTGGTGCTAGAAGCTCTTGTGAGTCCGCGCGGGTAGGTACCACCACCCTGCCTATTTCTGCCGTGAAGCAGTAATGGCAGTGGGGCAGCCGTTGTAACTATACTCGAGACCTTAGAACTTATATCTCAAGGTGGGTGGCGCATTTACATCGTAGATGTCTATGGGCTCCAGTAACACCAGGTGAGCTGTGAGCTCGTCCACCCAACTAAACAATAAAAAAGGTACAGGCTGATTGCGTTAACAAACCCGAGAACCTTATATTAACTTATTTATTAAATAATTAAACTAGGATTTAAACTAACTAACTAGTACCCATTCGAACATCGAAACTCTGCTATAATTTAATAAAAGTTATAGGATGAAGCTTGTCAATACTACTAAACATTGATTTTGATTGCACCATGCTATTCTTTCATTGTGGAAGTCATTCGTAAACATCAGTTATGTACGTATATAATTTATCAAAAATACGAGTAGGTACCTGTCCGCGGGATTTGAACGACGGCATATTCTGACCACTCGTTACGAATACAACAACCGTCTTATCCTTTATAGTACAACAGCAAGACTGTTTTGTATTTGCTTGTTTATATTTTTATAATAAATCGCTTTCATTCAAGTTGTAAATATAATCTTAGAAAAAAAAATCGGTTGTCTGTAAAGTCGGTTTACTGACGATAGTTGAACGTGACAACGTCATAAGAAAATACTGATGAAATGGTTTCATTTTTCAATTATCGCAATTATCGTTGCTTTATACAATTTTATTGACACCACATTAACTTTTCACTGAACTTCATACTTGACGAAAACATGTAAAATATGTATTATTGTATAGCAGCTGTCCACGCGGATGCATCGCTCACTCAAGTAGGAGAGAGACAGATGTCGAACAGAACAGATGCCTCTTTGTCGCTCGTTGCTCGCTTGCACTTCAAGCCTTAAATGGAACACCTCAGAGCGAGGTAACGCCGCATGAGTCATGTTTTTTCGTGCGCGCAGCCGGCTCCATCGAATTATAAGACGTTGTCACGTCAAAAAACTAAAATACTACCAATCTAGACGAATTAGGTAAACGATAGTAATCCAAAGGGTTTTGAAATAATATGTGTACCTGCACTGGTATCCGATAGCATGTGGAAGTGAACACTGGAGCCGCCGGCGCTCTCGCCAAATATTGTGACAGAATCTTTGTTCCCACCGAAGCTTTCGATGTTTTGCTGAATAAAACGGAGTGCCTCTTGTTGATCTTTCAGACCATTGTTACCGGGACAGTGTTCATCTTTTGTCGACAGAAATCCAAGAGGACCTGAACGTAAATAAACCTTAACATCCTGTATATTTGTATACTGTAGAGTTATCTTAATTGATTAGGTTATTTTTATAATTGTAAGACCATATCAAAGTATTTATCAAAAAACATCTGCATTTTTTCTCGAAGTTAAACACAAGATACGACCATAAAAACAACTTCAAATGATAATATCATTCTAATGATCCTTCTGATGATTCAAAATGTAACATACATAATTATACCTACATTTCCAATTACAAACAATTGATACTCATATTACTACAAGCATTTCACAACTATTGTTTTCTTTCAGAGCACTTGTACAAAATACACAAAATCGACTGTGATCGATACAATAATAATAATATCTTGTCGATCCATCCATATATATGATTTAAAAACTAAATAGCGTTAATGATAGTATGTCTGAAATATGTCCATTTGAGGTAATTTGTTGATGTGAAATTGAACCAGCCGTCACTTACGTCTTGTAATATAATGAATTCACATAAAATCTAATTAAGGAAACAAAAACAAAAAAATAATTCATCATTAGTCGTAACGTAAAAACTGCAAATAAAATTATCGCGTTGTTTACGTTCGAGAATGACAACGTTTACCATGTTTTATGATATGATAAAGCTATCATTACCAACCTAATCTGTAGTTCGTGGTAACCAATATAACATCCCTGTCTAATAGAAACTCAGGACCGTACATTGCCGTCGTGGCGTCACCACACATCCATCCTCCTCCGTGCAAAAATAGCATCACCGGTAATAATTCCTTTTTGCTTTTATCATCCTAGAAAAAAAATTGTGCCCTGTAAATCTTAAGTTGATCACAAATATTGATTTTAATAAATATCTTAGTTTATCTTCGTCTAATAGGCACGAAAAGAAGCTCACACTTACTTATCACTTTAATGATTATATTGTAATGATTTTAAAATGTCTTTGAATAAACTGGAACTCGTCCTAGTGAAGTAGGATTTAGTCATTATAAATTCATCAAAAGTAAATTAGTAAATATCCATTCTCGTCGTGATGTGACGGTGGAACGTGACTTTTTTATTATTATTTTTCCTACCTAGTCGTCGGTATTCTGAGCGGCTATTTCAACTACGCGTGGACCGTTAGGTGAGCTCGCGGGGCTCAACCTGGGAGAGCTTGCTAACAGTAGCCTTAGCAAGAGCAGTATCTCGTTGAATCTACCGTCGGATGGAAATCGCGACCCACAAAGAAGATCCGGCAACAAATTTAGTGGGCTGTGTCTGCGGGATATAGGTTTCAAGTCGAAATCTTCTTCGCATTCGAAGAATTTTGCGAAAACGGTGACCAGCGCTGGAAGAGCCTAAAATCATCGAGAGCTGATCCGGACGATCCAACAAGGCATGTTTTGGGCGACGGCCGTTTTGCTGTCAAAGTTCGACGAGATCCGGTGGTAGAATCTGCAAAGCACTGCTCTTGCTAGAGCTAGTGATAGAAAATTATCTTAGGCTGAGCCCGTCAGCTCACCTACCCGCCCTCTAGGCTACCAGCGAATAGATAGGATAGGAAAAAATTACAAATAAAATAAATAAATACAATTTTATCAGTGAATCTTATCAAAGTAGGGCTCGCTTAGAAATAACCACCACAAAATATCGAACATGGTTGCAGGTCCATAACATTTAAATAGGTCAACTTAACCAAAAATGAATTGCCCACAACATTGATATACTATTACTAAATTAATTTTAGTCATAGCACAGATACAATACCGTAAAATACATAATACTATAGCCTACTACATAAATAAGCTGATCATATTTCAACGTTTTAATAGCTTAATACTATATCATCTCTGACTGACGTGTGTATTCACTTTGATCGTAAAAAGCACTTAGCCTACAAAGCAGTTAAGGTAAAATACGTGAGATTACTTACATTGGTCGTGGCGGGAACATACACATTAAGATACAAACAGTCTTCTTGTCCAACGATATCTTTTTGACGGACATATGGATTCCTCTGAACGCATATTGGGCTTACTTTTGTGGCGTCTAGTACTCCTTCCCATGGCCCAAACGGGACTGGTGCCTGTAATTACATAATACAGTATTAACTCGTATCATTTTCTAGAGTTATTTATTTTAATCTCATTAGGCAATATCAATTTTAAATTTACTATCTCTGCACGTGTACGTATGTGTTTATGTTGAGTTTTATTTTCACGGAGCAACGGAAGGAATGTTATCAACGTTATCAGGAGACCACCGATATTGGCAAGGTATACTTCGTCCCATCTCTTTCATATAGAAATAGACTATTATATTCCGATTCTATCAAATCTATTTCGATTATACCAAATGCGTAATGTAGACATCCACCTCTTAATTGTTTCTTGTTGCAACATTAACGTTACGGATCTTAATGGGATTGTGAAACCGCTTAGTATCAGTACTGACCCAAAAAACTGTTTTCTAAAATATTTCAAGATTAACTAGTTTGACACGACAATCAGGTCCAAAGTACATCATAAATTCAAGTTCAAATGCAAACCTTATGTACAGACTAATGCTTCGGACATAGTATATTGTTTATGAATTCGTGCTCCCGAGTGAGGCCCGGCTCGTCAAGCAACCGAGTAGGCTGAACGAAGGTCAACATGCTCAGAAATGAAAACGATAATTTCCTAATAATATATAGATAGGTATATCACAAATGCTTATCGGGTTTTTATATCATGTTGAATCAAAAAACATCAAACGTGTTACCTGAAGCTTAAGCGAGGACTCTTTGTTACAAATTTAAAAATAAATATCAAAACTTCCTCTACATTTAAAAAACCCGACAGCTACGATAGAACATGTTTCGTTTTGAATTTATATTTTTAATTTGATGCAAAACAGAATTTGCTATTAAATCGAGAGAAGCAAAAATTAATTGGAATATATGGCTTTTTTGCAATTTTGATCACTATTAGGTGCACTGTATGAAAAATTTCTCAATTTTTTTTTATTTGATTTTTTAAACATCGGTTAGACTAGGTGAGTAGCTATTATTATTTTTATGGTAATAAATTTAAAACTACTCTTTTTACAGTAACAAATTTAATTCTAGTATCCTCAAAGTAACTTGAAACTTGTAGTATCCTTATTATTTTAAGAGTTATCAAAAGATAATTCAAACAATAATAAAAACATACCGAAGGTCTTAAAACGAAGTTCCCTCTTTTTTATCGCTAGAATTGTGTGATTTTATTTTCCTCTAGGAATTGAAAATTAGGTTTTATAATCAAATCACGTGCGTAAAATTGTTTTAGCATCTACATACACACAACTTTATAGCTAGTTCTCTTATTTTGTTACCTAAGATCGCCAAGCTATTGTAATAAATAATGCGTAAAATCTAACAAAAAGGTTAGTTTTATAAATTATTCGCGTTGTGCAATAGTATAAGTACTTTTGTAGCGTAGTTTTATTTACAATCAAGAATTCATAAAATATTCCACATCAGCAGAAATACAAGTCTTTGAAATTAAATAATCAAACGTAATATGTCTAATAATATCTTACGTAACATGACGTGTTTCGTGTTTTTTGTTCTATTGAGAAGTGCGTAAAAAGACTTCGATAATTCAATTTTATATGTTTTATAAGATTTTATGTGCGTCTGCGCGTTGTTCACCCGATTGAGGCGAAACTTCATAGTTGTTGTTGGTAGCGCTTATACAAATTCCTGAGTTACGGCTCGTAAGTGCGAGTACAACTGATATAATTTCAATTAATGGATGTATTTCACACATTCAATTGATGATAATCAGAGAGATAAAAGAATAGGCTTTAGCAATAAATTATAAAATTTATACATTAAAAGATCAATCACTCGATCATTACAAAATATTCTTACTTTAAATCTCAGTTCTCCGACCGGTGGTTTCGCAAATGGTATGGCCGTAAAAGCCGATATTTGCCTACCGCCTCTGGTGGTCATGTAATAACCGGCAACCTCGCCCAGAGGCGTCGTGACCGCAGGCCTTTCTTCAGAGCTTGCATCGTAGCAAAACAACACTAATGTGAAAGTAAAAAATACGAAATTCACGCGAAGTCGCGGCGCTTCAATTGTAAACTTGTTTGGCATGGTCGCATGCAGATGATCGCGTCGCGTCGATGATAAATACGGAATGGCAAGCGTTCTGGTTCTCAGGTTTTAATATACCTGTGAACCTCAGCAATGGATTGTTTTTACTTATACGGACGTGTCGTTGATAGACTAATTCACAAAGAGGTTCTTTGTACCTGTGCGGTAAATTTTCAAAAACTGTTTTTAAATAATGTATTATTTTGTATATTAGGGGCGGTCAACTTGATTAGAACCAAGATCTAGTTTCTACTGACGTAACACTCTACATTCTTGACATTTTTTTAAATATTTTGAATAAATGTAGTTCAGTATTCCAATAAGTATAGTGAAAAATTATTTTCCTTCGGAAAAACTCTGTATTGAACAGTAACTTCAATACAGATATTGAGAAACGCGTACGACTGGGTTGGTCGGCATTTGGGAAATTCCGTGCAATCCTCACCTCGCAAATTCCTCAATGCCTGAAGACAAAAGTCTTTAACCAGTGCGTTCTCCCCGCGATGACCCACGGCGCGGAAACCTGGACACTGACGGCAGGGCTGGCCCATAGGTTAAGAGTCGCACAGCGGGCGACTGGAGAGAGCTATGCTCGGTATTTCTCTAAGGGACAATATCCGGAACGAAGAAATTCGACGGAGAACCAAAGTCGACGACATAGCTCTCAAAGTTAGCAGGCTGAAGTGGCAATGGGCCGGTCACATCTGTCGAGCCAGCGACGCCAGGTGGGGGAGGAAAGTCCTCGAATGTAGGCCACGGATGGGTACCAGGAGCGTGGGGCGTCCTCCAACCAGGTGGACTGACGACTTAGTGCGCACGGCGGGAAGTCGTTGGATGCGGAAGGCGGAGGACCGCATTATGTGGAAGACATTGGGGAAGGCCTATGTCCCAGCAGTGGGCAGATAAAGGCTGCTGATGATGATGGGATAACTCGGATCTTTACTGGAACTTTATTGTTTAGTGTCAAATGTCAAAATGAATAATGTCATTGTATAATATAGAGATGTTACAACCATAACAATTATTACTTAAAACGGGATATTTACCAGTGTATTATATGAAATGAGTTCCCGATATTTTTAAGTAATAATTGTTATGTTCGTGACCATGTTGGTTTAAAATCATAATTATGTTACTACCACTTTCTGGAACTTTGAAAATACTCAGTTTTATTGTCATTAGTAAACAAAACATTAGCTCCACTTTAAAAGATAATTAAAAATACAACAAAATAGAGATTATTGGGAAATATTTACAATAGTAAAACTCAATAACTGCCTAAATTTTATGTCATTGGCGTCCCTCTCGAACCTAAGTAAATGAGAGGGATGCAATCGACATAAAGACTCTCATACTAAGCTCGTTAGTATACTTATAGGTGCCTAACATTAAAATATTACCTACTGCATATTTGGATCTATGTTCTCAATATCTTCCATTTCACAATCTGACTAACAGTCAGACATATCATCGTCAGATTCCTCAGTGCTTTCATTGACGTTAATAACAATCCTTTGCTATTGCTATCAATTGCTATTTTTGAATTTGCTATTTTCCGATATTAAGTACAGGTAAATATTAAATATAATAATAATATTGGACTGGACTTTTTAACATATTTCGAGATTGCGGCATGGCTATACAGTCTTTTTACAAGTAATCTGAAAATATTATTAAAACTATAGCGAATATTTGAATTGCGTATTATCCACTCTATGTACCTATATACTTTTCCGAAAAATTACGAAGGAAAACCTTTTCTCACTATATATATAGTATATTTTCTTTTATTGAAAATATGAACATAAAGCTGAAATTATACATTAAAAGAGAACTATTGTGTGGAAGAGAGCATAAATAATGATCATTAATAAATCATACAAGATGAAGATGATTAGCAACAATTGGTGATTACGTTGCGCAGTTTGTTCTATGTATTTATATTTTTTCTTGCCACGACCGGTCGATCGCGATCTACCGGTTGGCCACCCCTGTTGTATATGGACATAAGTTGTTTTGATGTAAAAATAAAGTGGAGATATTTATTACATAAAAAAAATTGACACATTTAAAAACTCGGTTAACGTCAATGTTCCGCGGGTTTGTATTGAACTTTGCGTTTTTGGGACTGAATCTCAGATATCATAATAGACGATCCAATATTATGATGACATCAAGCTGCTCTGAAGTTGTAGCTAAAATGAGTCGTTAACCTAATAACGACTGGTACTGGTGGTAGGACCTCTTGTGAGTCTGCACGGGTAGGTACCACCACCCTGCCTATTTCTACCGCGAAGCAGTAATGCGTTTTGGTTTGAAGAGTGGGGCAGCCGTTGTAACTATACTTGAGATCTTATAACTTATATCTCAAGGTGGGTGGCGCATTTACGTTGTAAATTTCTATGGGCTTCAGTAACCACTTAACACCAGGTGGGCTGTGAACTCGTCGACACATCTAAGCAACAACAAAAAAACGAGAGCTCGATGATGAATCTCCTAGGCGGGTAACAATAAATATTGTACATTATACATATAATGCTGATACTAATGTTTGTAGTATTTCATAATTCAAAAACCACTATCCCGTTTCCTGACATATTTTTCTTTATCTGACAACAACGAATGAACAATAAAAACTCCATTATAATAAGGAAGATAAAAAAAGCCTTAAAAATAAGACATCGAGGTTCCACTGCGATACTGTGTTCTCAATAAAAATCAAATAGTTTTTATGTAAATTTTTATCCAGATTATTATTAAAAAAAAAATGTCGTTTCAATATTATTAATTACATATCTTGTTTCATTTAACGTCGTCGTCGTACTTTGTTTCTGCTGTTTAGAAGACGTAACATATTATGCAACAAATAAGATCTTCTCCTAGTTCGATATCGGACTGATTTTTCAGTATTGTTCACCATTTGTAAATGATCATTATCATCTAAACGATTTGAAACTCGATCTTCGAAATGTGCGTTTCTGTACCTATGCTTATTATGTTTAACGGTACGTATTCCATTTAATTTAGTTTTAATCTCATCTATTTCGTGCAAAATCTGCTCGTTTTGCTTATCGATCCTTTCGGTCACCAATTTCACGTGTGCCAACTCATTATGCAGCTTAGGTAGTTGTATTTTGTTCACAAGTTCAAACTTTTCGCTTAATAAGTTTAATGTATTTTCTATATTAATTTCTTTAGAATTTTGAACTTCATTCGACAGTTTTGTTGCAGATTTTTGGCAAACAGCGCATTTCCATTGATATCCCCGATCTCCTCCTTCGCAGATACTTTTAGCCGTTTCATTCATACACTTCGTATGGTATTTCGATTCGCAAAAACAACATTTGATACTTTCAGCGTGCCGAAGTGTTCTGTGACAGTACGCACAAACCATTCTGTAATAATATATTTACCATACGATAATTAAAACTGTTTTTCTTCACTTTTTTTGTCGTAGTTCGACCTGTTTTTTTTTCCCTACCTATGCTGATAGCCTTGAGAGGCTATTTCAGCTTCGCCCTAACGTTTGTAGGTGAGCTCACGGGGCTCAACCGGAGTTTTGCTAACACTGACCCTAGCAAGAGCAGTGCTTCGCAGAATCTACCACCGGATCGTTCGACCTGTAAGTTCCTTTAAAGCAGATTTGATGTTTTTTTTTTATTGCTTAGATGAGTGGACGAGCTCACAACCCACTTGATGTTAAGTGGTTACTGGAGTCCATAGACATCTGCAACGTAAATGGGCCACTCACCTTGAGATATAAGATCTAAGGTCTCAAGTATAGTTACAACGGCTGCCCCCAGCCTTCAAACCGAAACGCATTACTGCTTCACGGCAGAAATAGGCAAGGTGGTGGTACCTACCCGTGCGGCGTCACATAAGGTCCTACCACCAGTAAAATGTATGCATGTGTATCTATGTAAATGCTATATCTACGTAGATCACTCGATATCTACAACGTACACATTATTATGTTAATTATAACATTTTTTACATAACTAGTCTACCGTGTTATTATTACTGTATACACAACTGATTCATATTGAAGATTGATTGATATTTGATACACATACATATAAACACATTCAAAATACAAAAAATGCTTTAGATTTTGTGTTTATGAATCTTCTAACCTTTGGAAATTTGATAGTAGGGAGTGCACCCAGTTAAATAGCATCAAAACATTAATGAATATCTCAAAAACATCTACATGAAAATTTAAAATAACTTTGGACAGTTGTAAATTATTATATAAACTTAATTATAATAAAAATTGTTGTCATGTCAAAACCTATTAAAATATTGTTTGACAAAAGTAAATGACAAAATATACTTTGCACAGAGGTATTATTTCAATGATCGATACCCAACTATTAAAGAAGCAATGATTCGCGCATGTATTTTGATATCAGAAGCATAAAGTTAGATATAAAAATTCCTTTTTTGGATTCCCTTTGAAGTTTCGTTTACCTCTTCGTGTAGACGTAAATTTTTTTTCTTAGTCTAGTGTAGTCTTGACAGCTTGGTCGTTATCGTTAGTGAAACGGAGTTCCTTATTTAGTATTAGAGGTGGCAGATTTTTAGCGCCTCATGACGGACGAACACTCTACTGTGTCACCATGGGTGTGCCAGACAATCTCGTGCTCATCATACGAGACTTCTTGTCGAACCGTTCGTTTCGGTATCGAGTCAAGGGATCTCAATCTCTCTTAGGAAAAATGTCGTATCAAGTACATACCTAGGCGTCACCCTCGACAGAGGCATGACATTCGGTCCCCACATCAAGACATTACGTGACCGAGCGGCATTCTTGCTCGGTCGACTCTACCGGATGATCTGCAAGCGAAGTAAATAAAATTGTCCCTTCGTAACCTGGTGACAATAAAAAACTTGCATACGTTCCGTCATAACCTATGCAAATGTAGTGTTCGCAAACGCAGCCCGCACACATATAAACTCTTTCCAGGTATTCTAATCCCGTTTCTGCATTATAGCCGTCGGAGCACCATGGTACGTAAGGAATGTCGATCTTCACGACGATCTAAAATTAGAACCGATACGTATGTATATTAAGGTAGCGTCAGAACGCTACTTCAACAAAGCGGCGCGTCACTCTCGATAATTCTCTTATTATTGCCGCCGCTAATTACATATTTCCGACCCACGCGACAGCAACGCAAAGCTGCCGTCGCCTGAAACATGTCTTGTCGGATCCCCCGGATCCACTCTCGGTGCTTTTAGCCTTTTTAAGCACGGCGAAGAGTTCGACAAGCGAACTAACCCAAAGACAAAACCCACTGAGTTTCTCGCCGAATCTTCTCAATGGGTCGGAATTTCGATCCGGCGGATGATTCTGCGAAGCACTGCTCACGCTAGGGTTGGCATTAGAAAATTCTCTCAAGTTCTCTGCGCGTAGCTGGAATGATCCCTTAGGCTACCAATGAATAGATAGGGGGAAAAAAGCACAACGAGGCTTTATATGGATTGGATATCTGGTCGGAAAACGTGTCAGAAGAAAGCTACCGTCAGAGATTGTATAGTAGACAGTAGTAAATATAAGCTTCTTGGTTCCCAACTGTTGAAGTAGGTACGTATTGTATATTGACGTTAATATTTGATCAATAATTTCAAGGAAAGGTCTCGCGGACGATCTCCAACACGATGGACCGACCTCATAAAATCTGTGACTCACTCCAACATAAATGATTGCTCTCACTCTGCGAAACATCGGGCCACATGGCGTCGCATCGCGAGAGCATCGGTATCGCAGGATCCGACTGATGCATGACCACGACCACTCTGTCAAGAGTGTACGAATAGGAAGAAATTTCAAGGAAAGCCCATTCCAAGGCGACTACAGTAGGAGATGTGATATATTTTATAAATGTCAAATATCTTAAAGAAACTAAACAAAGTGAAATTAAAAAAATTAGCAAGCATTGCTAGCATTAGGACTATCTGTATGTTAAAATCCCATAGATTTTGTAAGAAAATACGTACTTGTGTTCATGAACGATATTGATAATAACTTCTTGGAATAAAAATCTAATGTAAAAATTTTATGAATTTGCGAATTACTGATAGGTACGGCGTACTGTAAACGTATATTTAACCACTATAGTGACAATTTCTACCGCAAAGCAGTATATTTTATTTTTAGATAAAATTTTATCTTTCAGATGATTACCAATATCAAATTGAAAAGTACTATTGGTAAAAATGTTTTCGTAAATGTATACGGTTTAAATAATAAACATAGTTTATAATATATCACATAAAATAAATAGGTACCAGTTTCTACATAAAGACGCTAGATGGCATTGCTAAAAGGTATAAAGCTTAACATAAATTATCTATACTATAAAATATTTTCTATTTTAATATAAAAATCACGAGGATCCAAATGACTTAATAAAAAACTGATCTGTTTTTTGTAATTCTTGATTGTACATTTTTATTAAACTATGATTGATTCATTCTGTTAGACTTGGCTGGAACGATTAGAATGATTTTTTGTATTTTTATGTTTTAACTTTTAGGGTTTTTAATTATTTCATTATAAAAACAACTCTGGGAAATATTGTTTTAGTGCATTTTAGATGTAAGAAGACGCAATTACGTAGTACAATTAGTAAACACGAAAAAATATAATTAAAAATTCTAGTGCCCTCTCTTAGAATATATGGGTACCAGTGTTCAGAAAGTGACGCTAGATGGCATTTCAACGCATAAATATGGTAAGGAGAATCAACTATGGATTTGAAGTATCCGTCGAAATATATTGGGTGGCGACAAATTAGTACCGTCTTGTAATAATTTTATATTTTTATATTTACTGCGTTATTTTATATAACGTAAGTTATTGAAATTTTCAATAATTACTATTTTAGTCGAAATGATAATAAATTTTTGAAGTCTGCGTAATTTAATTCAGTTACAATTGCTACATTCATACCATCATACCCTTTGTCTACACCAGCGCGATTGTGACAGGTTTTTGAACTGTTATTTATAGCATACAGCTCGACACTTTTTCAATTTTTCTCACATATAAGATGATTCTCCTTACCTCTACCCTCCATAGGTTTACGGTATATTTTCTATTGTAACATTAGGAGTCACGAAGGGGTCCAAAGGGTTCACTGAAATGCACTGTATATAAAAGCAACGGGTCCAAAGATTAACTCTGCTCTGAACACGCAGGAATGGTCGTAAAAGGAAGACCACTGCATCATTCTCGACAATTTCTCAAAGGATCTCAAAAGTGTTATTTTACTTCACATGCAACTGTCACATTTCAGGGTTTTTAATGTAATGAAGTTTTGGAATATACTTAAATGCCCGTGATAGTATTTTAAGAGTACAAGATGTGATTGGCTGTTCTTCAGTTGACCGCCCATTATAAAAACGTACATAGCAAATCGCTGCCTACTATAAAAACATCGTCCAGACCTCTTTGGTAAGGGAGTACATGCCAGTATGTTAAGGTAGATTATACTTATTTATATTAATTGACACGAAAAATAACTAGTCTCTCGAAAATGTACAAACTTATGTAATGGGAGAAGGTAAAGAAATAATAAGCGAACTAACCTGCAATCTAGTGACAAGGGGCGTCACAGTAAAACGTTAAAATTCGTACCTCTACGAAAAATTCCGCGAAACACTGTTCGCATAGAAATTTAATGGTCAGGGGTACATTTTAATCTACCCGAGACTATAATTCAAGTACCTAGCATGTCCGTTTAGATGGGGGCCTCGGAACAGAATTATGATCTTCTATCGTATTCACTTTTCTGCCAATTTTAGTGACGGGGCAATCATGTACCTATTTGTTGGGATTTGAAAGGCAGAAGAGCCCATACATTAATACAATTCTCCAGAGTCTCCAATCTTAAATCTTTAGGTGAGCAGCTACGCCAGCTACATTCATGTTTTAGTTTCATTCGAAGAGAACGCAAGCGTTCTAATAGTTTCTATGGCCTAAAAACGATTAACACCAGATGGGCACGACCAGATAATTAATTCGACCGCTTTAGTTAGGTACCAACACAGATTGTTACCAAGGCCAATACCAAAACCAGCAAGCTGTCTAACAGTAAATGCTTTCGTTCAGAAAGTATATTATTATCATCATCCTTACTCACAGAAATCCATGTTTATATTCTTAGGGCATCAAATAAAAGTATGAGGCAAGTCAACAAAAAAAATCTGGTCATGTTGCGTAATAATTCGTTTGTCAAGTCACAATTCTAGATAAACCTGTTCCACAAAACTCTGGCTTAGAAAGGTCGTGCTACTCACTTGAATTGTATGTCCACACACTTACTGTAATTTAGTCAAAGTACAAATGAGTCGTCTATTATCAAAGGTGGCAATCTGTGCATTTGGACAAAAATTTTTTATTGATATGTCAATACAGATTGATTTGAATATAATCGTCTCCTTCAAAGAATACGGTTCAAAGCCTGCATTAAATAAAGGTTAATACTTAACCTGTTATTTATCTAAGATGTCGTTCAGAAGAGTTTTGTGACTGCCAATGGAATACAAAGTCAATAATTGGTTTTTCTGATTTACCAATAATTATCCAAAAGTCACATTGCCGGCTTTGATAATAGTCGACTCAAATATCAGATACCTACAATCGTAACCTCGTATCTAAAAGTACTTAAATTGTTACTTATATTAGTTTTTTGACAATTACAATATCTTCTGCGAAGTAGTTTTATTCATAGCGCAAAATTAAATACGTTTTTTTTTATTATAATTTAATTGATAACGCGATTAAAACACAAGGTTATGTAGTTATTTAAAAAAAACAAGACTATAAAGTTACTGTTTTGATTCGCAAACTTCATTGTCGTTACCTCATTGCTGTTGTAGTATACCTAAATATTCATGTTGTTTATATTTTCGTGTCTATTTTTGATTATTTGAACCCAAGCAGCTAGATGTTAATAAAAAATAGTCAGCTTAGTTATTGTATCTGTAAATTTCCTCTTGCTTGTTATGTAACTAATATAAATTCTTCACTATTTAAAAAACTATGTTTTTCAAAACAACTTTCGATGATCCGTGGTTTTTGGTCTAACGTATGATAAGATAACTACATATTCGTGTTGCTCATATTGTGATAATAAATACCTAAATACTATTTAACGCGCATGCGATTTAATCCTCTTGTGTGTATGTATATATATTCTTGTGTAATAAATGTAATCATTAACTTACATGGTAACACGATCTCAATAAATTATAGTTATAAATACACCTTCGTATTATTATTATTAAATATTTTATCTAAATGTTTATCTACTAATAATATTATCTTTAAGAATAGTTAGTTACTTATTATTACCTACTTAACTTATTTGTTTGTGCTGTTCTTAAAACCACATTCACGTCTGGAAAAACTGATAAAATTTATTTGTATTAGGGGTTAAAGTATCGGTCTGTGCTGGAGTCAAGGTCCAGACGGCTGGCTGATCCTTCAGCTGGTCGTAGGACTGTCGAGGCGATTCGCCACACAATGGTGGCACAACCACAATGGTGGCACATTGTGGTTGCGACTTGGACACAGCCGAGCATAGGCTCGTCGCCTGCCCCGCATGGGAGGGGTGGCGCCGTGTCCTCGTCGCAAAAATAGAAAACGACTTGTCGCTGCCGAGTGTTGTAGCATCGATGCTCGACGACGACGAGTCGTGGCAGACGCTGCTTGACTTTTGCGAGTGCACCATCTCCCAGAAGGAGAGTGACGCACAAGCCCGCCGCCGTCGAGCGGGGGCCAAGGAGGCGGATCTCGTCCAGGCCCTGGCCCTCTAAGTGTTTCGGGTCCCCCTCACATGCCAGTCTGGCGAGGGGGCCTAGAACACGACGTGCAAGCTGCTCTGCACGCGTTTTACGCAAGAGCATCCGGGCAATGGAAGGTCGACTATCCTCGACCTAGGCTGGTTCTGACCCAGCGGGGTATTCCGTAGGATAGCTCACTCTAACCGGCGCCATCTAAGCGTGCTTCGGATAGCCTGCCAACCGAGAGGGCTGGTGGTCGTTGCGCCGACGACCGCTGGTCCGGCGTCCCGAGGGGGAAGGTGATGGGATTGATGTGTTCCACACTAAACGCTTCACTTTCCCCCCTTTGCTTTTTTATGACTTCTGTGTCATGCGAGTTTCGGACGTCGGTTGTTGAGCAACAGGTTTTAGTCAGTTCGACTCCGACATGCCCCGCTCTCCATCCCTAGTGGAGGGCGGAAGTCCGGTGATTTCCTCCTAACCAAAAAAAAGGGGGTTAAAGTATGAAATTGCCAATTTGAACTGAACTTAAGCTGCCATCTAATAGGGAGGTCATTTAATGCCTTTGCGATAGAACTCTGGTGATCTAAATTCTACAAACTGTGTGAAAGCATGCAAAGCTGTATATAATGTGAATAACACCATGCTGAGATCACCAAACAGTTACCATTACCTTTTTATTGATAAGCTTTTTTATTGCCTAAGGACACTGTTGCGGCGTTTGATCTGGGGTTAACCATTGCATTCTTCGCTTATGGTTATCATAAAGTATCCACTTTTTATCACACGTCAAAATTCGATCCAAAATTCTTTCATTTCTGTATCGATTCAACAAGGCAACACGTTTCAACACGCGTTTCTTTCTGCAGATCAGTCAAATCATAAGGCACCCATTTTTCATAAAAAAAAATACTTTATTGATTTGACGCAAACGAGTCAATATTGTTGGTAAGGTAACATTAAACCATGCCGCTAATTCTGGAGTGATTTGGCTCGGATCGGCATGCACCATCTCTTTTAATTCGTTTTTATTCACATGTGTAGGCGGAATTCCACGTGATTCATTCTTCAAATCAAAATTTCCATTACAAAAGCGTTTAAACCGAAATCGGATGGTGCGTTCGTTAACAGTCCCCTCTCCAAGCGCAACATTAATATTGCGAGGTATTTCAGCAGTTAGTTCCGCGTCTGAGCTCGTATTCAAAAACTTTTTGGCGGGAACGTTAGGAGCGAGGTTGTATGAATTGTTTTATTTTGTCTATTTAGAGTTTCTTCAGGTTTAAATGTGTAATAACGGTAGTTTGTTAACTTTTTAGAATCTGTGAAAGTGAACAAATGTGGGTAAATAAAACAAAGCTGCCGGACGTAGCTTCTTGGGATCATCCAAAAATCCACTGAAAAAGTCTCAATAAAAGACCACAATTTTAGTGAGACTATAATTTCATCACAATATCATCTCATTTGTAAATTTTATTCGTTTTTAATAATTTATGTTATGTCCCGATTTAGTTTCCTTCGTTTTTTATTACTTATAAACTGTAAATAAATAAAAAGGCTAATTAAAAAAATCTTATTACTTAATGCACAATCCGTGCCGGAGCTAAAAAATAAAGAAGAAGTCGTTGGAGCCATAGAAAAATGTTCTATTTAAAATTTTTGTTAGAATATTAAGACTAACACCTATTTTAGAAGAATTGTATTTGAAAATACTTGAAAATCATGTTTTGAAAGTCAACATCTGTAATAATTTAGGAATAAATTTATAATCTCAAAAGGGTAATGAACTACTTGTGAAAACAGGATTATTTTAATGACTTAGTTCTAACATCTTTTTCATATTGGAACGAAGTTCCTTATCGCGCGTTGTGAAAGGGGGCTAGACGGAAAAAAATCTTACGAAAAGTTATCACGACACTTTTTTAATTTATTTTATTAATATAAGTAATTTTGAACTGTATGTCGGAGTGATAGGACACACTACGGCGCAGCGGAGTCAACGCAGCATCAATCGCGTTTGAGTGACAGCCGCGTGACAGAAGACCGTAGTGTGTCCTATCACTCACTATGTATAGTCTTAGTGTGATGGCTACACAGTGTCTACGTGATGACGGTTATTATTATTATTCATATAAATAGCTGTTTCTTTGTATATTATTATTAAATATTTTTTATAAATCATTGTGAATATTAAAGTTGATAACTTTGTAAAGCAGTTTTTTTTTTTATCATTAAAAAAATCATAATAAAAAATGTATACCCGAATAATTATTTTCTTTATACCTCGAATAGAACTTAAAATTAATATTTTTACAATAAGGGACTTCGTTCCTATCTGGTGTCCCACGATACCACACATCTTTTTTGTATTGTATTTAAGTATTTTATATCAATTTTGTATTTCCAAGGTTTAAATTTCATTTTAATTAAAATGTTTTTTCTTATTTTCGAAATAAAATACTGCTCTAATTTAATTTAAAAAGTGTCAAGTAAAATAACAAATTTCAAGTACCTATAATTTCTATCAAACAAATTCTTAAAAACCTAATTTGGAAGTAAATAAAAAAACAGTGTAATAATAAATGTATATTACCCTCAATAGTATACTATAGATAAATATTGTACCCGATTTTATAGCTTAAAAAAAGCAAAATTGTACAATTTTTTTTTGTTTCAAAACACAGAATTTACACCCATTAAATTTACATCGTAGTAAATTTCAGTTATCCATTTTAAGAGTGTTTAGTGTTCAAAAGAAACTCCCCATATTTATTGATTACAGCTTGTACTTATACAGTTGTCAAATTTAATAAAAAATATTGATCAAATATGAGAACGATCATATAACCCAAAAGAGGATAAAATATTCACTACATGTCACCATTTAAAATAGCACCAATTTCTATATTATTCCTTTACAAATTTGCATGATATTTTTTGTAAGGAGCTAAACCAGCTGCTACTTTATTTCCAAGTTCAGGATGTACCTGAGAGAAGATCTTGATAGCTCTTTCTTGAATAAACGCAGCAGCATCCTTGAGGTGATCTACTATATTGGCAATAGCTCGTTGTTTAGCTGCATCATCAAAAACTTGTTTATACAGTGCTGTCGCTTGGGAGAAGTTGTCCTCAGTCTGGCCACTATCATACCGGTCTACATCTCCGCCGACATTGTATCGAGGTTGCAAACGCTGAGCACGTGGACATTCTTGTGGTCCAGAAAAAGAGTTGGGGAAATAGTTAGGGCAGTCGTCTTGATTGTGAATAGCTTGAGGTCCATCACGCTGGTAGTTGGAAACAGCAACTTTGTATGGACAATTTACAGGAATTTGGAGGTAGTTAGCACCAAGTCTATGGCGATGTGTATCGCTATAGGCAAACAGTCTTCCTTGTAACATTTTGTCTGGAGATGGCTCAATTCCTGGTACTAAATTAGATGGACTGAAAGCAATTTGTTCAACTTCAGCAAAGTAATTCTTAGGGTTTCTATCCAAAACCAATTTACCAACAGGAATTAAAGGATATTCTGCATGTGGCCAGATCTTAGTTAGGTCAAACGGATTAAATTTACAGCTTTCTGCTTGAGCCATAGTCATCACCTGAATGTAAAAAGTCCATGATGGGTAATCACCCTTTGCAATGGAATTATACAGATCTCTAATGGAATAATCAGGATCAGTTGATGCCAGTTCACCTGCTTTGTCAACTGATAAGTTTTTAATCCCCTGGTTAGTCTTATAGTGGAATTTTACCCAGTACCCAACACCTTGAGAATTCACAAGCTTGAATGTATGGGAACCATATCCATTCATATGTCTGTAGCCATCAGGAATACCACGGTCTCCAAACAAGTAAAGAAGTTGATGGATGGTCTCTGGTCTTAAGGTCAAAAAGTCCCAAAACATGTCTGGATCTTTCAGATGTGTTGCAGGGTTTCTCTTCTGAGTATGGATAAAACTCGGGAATAATGTTGGATCTCTTATAAAGAAAATGGGAGTATTATTTCCAACTAAATCCCACACTCCATCATCAGTATAGAACTTTACAGCAAAACCTCGAGGGTCACGAACAGTATCAGCAGATCCACTCTCTCCACCAACTGTTGAGAATCTAACAGCAATCGGTGTCCTTTTGCCTATGGACTCAAATACTTTGGCAGCACTGTACTTGGTGATGTCATGAGTTACTTCAAAGTACCCAAAAGCTCCAGCTCCTTTAGCATGTACCACTCGTTCTGGAATACGCTCCCTGTCAAAGGATGACATTTCATCAAGAAAGTTAACATCCTGTAATAAGGCTGGACCATTCTTGCCCACCGTTTGTATCGCCGTTTTGATTCCAACAGGAGCTCCAGATTTAGTGGTGATGAAACCAGGAGAATCCTGAAATTGACAGAAACACAAATGATAAGAAACAACATTGGGCAATTTACTTATTTTTTATATGAAATAGCATTATGGGCAGCAAAACATAAAATAAAATAAGGAGTATATAGTTAACAACATACATTTTATAATTACTAAAATGTTTATAAAGTAAAATTATAAAGAAAATGAAATTCTGCTAAACGCAACTAATTGAATAAGAGTAAAAAGATGTATGAATAAATATTACTCTAAAAATCTGTTCACAGAGTAACAAATTTACATTAAATTAAGTTTTTTTATTTTCGTCGAAGAAATATTATATTATCTACTGTTTGCAGTAATCAACAGTTACAAAGTTCACTATTAAATTCTACATGACTTGCGCATTAATGAATGTGTAATTACATGCACTGAGTATACACTTAATAAACAATTAAATTCGCATGGCACATTCTCAAGTTTAAATCATAAATATTCCTCATTAAAGAAACCTTGACTAATGCATTTAATGCTAATGGGTGGGCATTAATGCATACTGAATTGCATTTACCTCTCAGTGTTCAAAGGTCATCAATATTTTTTTAGAAATGGAGAACATGACAGCCTTGATTAAAAATTAATTGAATGTAACTTGAAATTAATTTTTAATTTTAATTTACAAAGAAGATTAAATTAAATGAAGAATTAAATGTATAGTCCATAGAGAATAGAGCACAGTCTATTTAAGATAGCAGTGGACTGATATAATTAATTAGGTATATTACAATATCTACACTTACGTACTAATTAAAGGTTCAACCTATTAACTAACCTTTAAAGTTTTCTTGTAGTTAATGAGTTGGTCAGTAGCTGGGTCTCTTGAAGCCATTTTGTATGTTCCCTTCTTACTATGCGGCGTTCGTTGTTTAATACCACGGAGCGACTCACTGGGCGCGTACCGTGAACTCAATTACCGCTTAGGAGCGATACACAGCCCCTTTTATAGAATTTCCAGCGATAAACAACTATCATGACAAACAAGTGTAACGGGTGGCCGATACACACAGTGCGTAGTTATATTATTTAAGCGCTATAAAATATGTAGGTACTACTTACTTAAGCGACAGTTTAACAATGTTTTATTTAATTATTAAAAAATAATTTTAAAACAATTGGTCTTATACCTAGGTACGTTAATAGATAACAATTAAAATTCATAAGCTAGAAAGTTCGTTTTTCAAAATTCTACGATTTTCCTGTAGTGCAAAACTGACAGAACTTATAGGTACCTAAACATTCTGCTTCTGCTGTAAGTTATTAGGTATCTAGTTTTTTAAATTACGATAAAGATATGCGGACATAGATTGCTAGATAGACAGGTAGACTTTTGTATAATTTATAATATATTGTTTGTTATCTAATTATTTATTTCTAAATTTAATTTTTAAATCTGTAAACTGGAACCTGAGCATATAATAAAGATTTTATATTTGCTTTTTACTTTGGTAGGCAGAGTTGATAAATAGTACTACTACCACTTGAAATGGATGATGACGAAGTATGACTTTGAGTTTCTCGAAATCGCAGTCACATCTTTTGACTAAATAGGTCCACCCCACACCTTGTAAGATCCTTTGGCCATAGCAACCTTGAATTTAAAGCGAGGGGTGAAAAAAATATAACCCAGTACCTTTATTAGACTTCTTTGTAAACTAAGTTCCAGACATTTGCGTGGTACATACATATATAATGACACAGCATATCAGAAAAAATTAATTTTCTTAAAAGAAATAAAAATATATGTTGATTATAACAATCTATAATCTTGCAATCACATCGAACGCTTGCGAGTAGAATAAGCACCGACATAGTATTATGTAGGTACCTGTACCTAACATATTAATGTCGACGAGGTTAAGGTACCGATTACTGAGCTGTCCCTAAATGAATTAGGTAAGTCCATCAGTTACGACTAACGTAAGCCTTATAGAAAAGTAGGTAACAAAATTTATATGTACACTAAGTGTTTTATCTATACTCGAGAGCAATGAATATGGGTCACCTAAAGAAACCTATAAATCTTGGAAACTAAGAAGGCTGGCTTAATAGAATAAACGGTGTTTAATAGACAATATAATACCCCTTAAATGAAAGTAATAAAATTTATAAGTCACTACATTTTATTTATTAAAAACTACATAAAGAAAAAAATCTCCTGATCTGACCTTAAAACAAAAATAGGAAATATGACTTTTTGTACAACATTATGATTTACCTGAATTTTAAATACTTTGTATTGCCTCTTCGTGATTCCATTACTGCGTTTACGCGGCTTGGGATGCTGTGCACCATGTTTCTTATACGATTTTGGTAAATATTCTCCCATTGCTCTGTGAGAGCAATTTTGAGCTCACGAAGCGTGATTGGGGGAGGGTTTCGTTGTTTTACGTATCTTCCTAGCTCGTCCCATGCATGCTCGATCGGGTTGATATCCGGGCTGCGTGGTGGCCACTCCATGCGAGTAATGTTCATATCTTGTAGGTAATCATTCACAATGAAACCTGTATGAGGTCGGGAATTGTCATGCATAAAAATAGCACCTTCACCAAAATTTACCATAAATGGCCCAACGTGTTCATTGTGAGTCGAATAAAAAGACTCGGCCTCGAGGTGGCCCTCCATAAATCCGAAGCAGTGTGCCTACCCACTCGGCTCGGGAGGGACCCCTCAAGGCGCGAATCTCGTAATCGGGGGTATCACCATTGCTGTCCAGCCGAAGCTCAAGTATTTGGGCCTTGTGCTAGACAACAAATGGAGATTCGACCACTATTTTAAAATGCTGGTTCCGAGGCTGATGGGGACGGCGGGTGCGCTGACCCGTCTTCTTCCCAATATCGGTGGATGCAGCGCCGGTATCCGGCGACTGTACCTGGGGGTGGTGCGCAGTATGGCCCTGTACGGTGCTCCCGTGTGGTCGCCCGCACTTACCGCGCGAAGCCCGGCTCTGCTGCTCAGAGCTCAGCGGGCGCTCGCTGTGAGGGTCATCAGGGGGTACCGCACCATCTCTCAGGATGTGGCCTGTGCCCTCGCCGGATCCTTTCCGTGGGACCTCGAAGCTGAAATCTTAGCCGCGACATACCGACGGAGAACACAGTCCTCGACTCGGGAACGGACACCCGGCATGTCAGCTGTCGATCGGTGGAGGCATGCTGTGCGTAGTATGGCGTATGCCAAATGGAGAGAGCGCTTGCTGGAGGAGCTCGGCCGAACTTCGGCTACTCGTTAGCGCACGCTCGAGGCACTGGTGCCTTTCTGGAGGCATGGTCGGACCGGCGACGCGGCGTGCTCTCCTTTCGCCTCACCCAGGTCCTTTCGGGGCATGTTTGCTTCGGGAGGTATTTGTGGAGTGTCTGCGGAAGGGAGCCACATTCGGGCTGCCACCAGTGCGGGCACCCGGACGATGACGCACGCGGCGAAACCTCGTCGCGGTGCTGGGGCAGGACCTCTCTTTGCGGGCTGTCGTCGCCCGTATGGTAGAGGACTGGAGTTCGTGGCAGGCCATGGCCGGTTCTGTGACTTGGTCATGGCGTTTCGTGAGGCTGAGGAGCGCGAAAGGGAATGAAATCCCTCTTTGGCTCCTCAGCGCAGAAGGCGGGATGGACAGCGCGTGCGAGAGACCGCCGCTCAGCCCCCGTAGGGACTATCGAGTGCCAGCTACGGGGGTGCCCGGCACTCGACTGTTGATCCGGTGATGAAGCGGTGCAAGGTGGCTCCTGTGCGCTGCTCACGGAGTGTCTCCCGAAACGACGTCCTTCGGGATTTTCCCGGGGATGAGATCCCGTCCTACCATTAGTACGGGTACCGACTAAGGCGAGACTTTTGGCGCGTACCGCGGTATCGTAAGTTTCGTGTAGTCGGTGTGGTGGAGCTCAATGGGGCTTAGTCATTAGTCGGTTCTGTGGGGCAAGTGCTTCGCGCGCCTTTTTCAAGGCGTAGTCTCCTGTGAGAAATTGGGGGAAGCGAAGGACCTCGGCCCTTCTCTTCTCCCCTTCTTCCTCTCAGAAGGCGCCGGAGTCCGACAGAACCCGGTCTGTTACCCCCCTCGACCGGGTATCCGTAAATGGATTCCCCAGCGTTAAAAAAATAAAAAAGATAAGCTACTTTTTCTTCTATACATGCTTGCTTGAATCTTTCCTCTGGTCTTATATACACTTTGTGTCTTCCGTCGTGCTTGTAGAGCATAAATTTTGATTCGTCGAAGAACATAATTTTCGACCAATCTTCAATAGTCCTATTTAAATGGTTTTGGGCATAAATTAGTCTTGAAATACGATCACCACGCTCCAGTTTAGGGCCATTTGCAGGTCTAAGTGGTTTCAATTTAGCTTCAGCAAGTCGTCGTCTTACTGTCCTTGCGCTTGGGTTACTTCCTCCGAGGCGTTGAAACTGATTTGTGAGTTCAGTTCCTGTAAGAAAGCGATTACGAAGAATGGTGTTCACCAAGTATCGATCTTCTCGTGCTGTGGTACACCTAGTACTGCCTGTTCCTGGTCTACGTAGGTTAGAGCCAGTTTCCTCGTAACGTCGGAGAATTCTTTGTACTGTTGACAGCGACACACCAACAGTCCTGGCTGTATCGCGCTGACTCCGGCCGGTTTCCAGCATTGTGAGGATTCTGATGCATTCTTCAGTTGTAAGCGACATGACTATAGCTTGAATAATAAATATTGAACACTATCAATATGGTTTATATACCCACTTAAATGAAATATGTATTAGAAACAAAAGCAAAATCAAATACAGTAATTTCGTAGTTCCATCTTCTAAAATCTCTCTTTTTCAAATTTGTTTTTTTTTTTATGACATAACCTTGCAGTAACTAAGATGTTTAGTCTAGTAATACCATAATTTAAGAAGTATATAATTGTCTAATAAACACAATTTATTTCATTAAGCTAGCATTCTTAGTTTCTGAGATTTATAGGTTTTTTTAAGTGACCCGGATTCATTGATCTCGAGCGTATATTTTGTTTTGTAAGGTCGTACGTAACCTGTGATTTTAATTTCCCTGATAGACAAATAATCCTTTATTGGCTTTTCATTTACTCTCGGGCCAAGAGACCTTACAATGGGACAGTAGGTTTTATCCTGTATACGATTATATATCTTATCTATCGCTATTATTAAGAACATTGATTAACTAATGTAGCCTTTTCGTAGACTATTACTTATTTATTGTCTTAGTTTGTTTCCTACTTAATTTTATTTATTACCTATAAAATCACTATTTTAAGCTTTGGTGTTAGTCCTGTTGTAAGCCCGTGAAGTTTTAGATCACCGTCTGCCTATTTCTGCCGCGAAGCTATTATTTCATAGCTATTATTCCTAAGCAAAGTCTGACACACGCAGGCAGATTCACCAATTTTAAGTCGGTACTTTTCATGTAGGCCAAATCGCAATATGAAATGATCAGCGCTTTATAGCATAATAATTAATCTTTGAATATTATTTATCTAACAAATACCATAGTTATTATCAAGTCATGACGTCATTCATGAACTAGTAGTTCTTGAACACCATTAAATGACTGACTCGATGTGATATTCACATGTCGTTGTGTCTATACAGTCCCCATAACAAAATTACACTGAAAATATAATCAGTGACTCAAATTATCTAAAGATAAAATTTTTGATGAATGAATATTATTTAGTGCGTTTGTGTACGCTAATCTCCGTTGGTTGATTTCTGGATTGGATTCTTTGATGTACTTATTTGAGAAACAAGGTCTACTTGTTATTACGTATCTACAATACCACATAAGGCACCTGAAAATTCCCAAATTACATATATTGTCATTACAGATATAGCTCATATTTATAAAATAAAGATCAATTTCAATTAAAATGTCCAAGAGAAATTACTTACGCACCCAACATCATAACAGTGCTCACAAAAACACACATATGAGAACAAATACTAATTTTTATATCT